CGGTTCCGAGGTGGACGTCCAGCGCCTGAGCCGCTTTCAGCCAGTCAGGATAGTTTTTCTGTGCAGATAGCTCTCGGCGCAGCCTTTCCCTCTTCCCCCGCCATGTCACCCACTGCTCATACAGTAATATATAGACGCGCACTAGAACATAGCCAAAACTTAGTACTATGAGCCACGCGAATACAATGAAGAGGAAGGGCCATTTCAAAACAGAATATAGCACGCCTTCCCTCGTTTCATCCTTGCTTCGCTTTGGCGCTTTGCGACGCCCACGACTCTTGCGGACTCTTTGATTGATTGGGCGCCAGTCGTTGATGGCTGTTAACGGGGAGGCTTCTGGGGCATTCAGCGCCCTCTCGAATTGGTCAAGTTCATCGGGTTGAATGAAGTCGCGGTCGTAGTCAGGGAGACAGGCCGGATCGTAAGGGTCATATACTGCAGGTTTATTCTCAGTGGTCATGTTCAACACATTCTGAATACACCAACGAAGATGTTGAAAGTCACAGAGGTACCTGGAAATCCGGTTGGGGTAGCTACGTTGTACGGATCATGACGTTGGCGTCACGTGTAGCTTATCCCCACATTGCGCTAGTGTATTTCCAGAAATAGCTAGTCTCGTTTTATATTTGCTGAGTCAGCCAGATCTTGCCCCGCCAGATAAGAAATAAAAAACATACCAGAACCATGGATGTCTCAGTAGCTAAACAGCAATTGATTCCAATTCAGAACTTTGCTGTTCTCCAAAACGAGGGAATTGTGTAGATCTACTAGCAATAATCTATTTAGGATTGAATTTGTCATGATCGCGCAATTTTCAACCTCGCTCAACATTCTTTGTATGGAGAGTGAATTAACTTTGAGAAACTATGGCACACATCATCCCACCTTGACATCCTGCGGCATTTGAATACGACAATGCCGCCTGCCGTGCGATGGCATTGGAGAATATTTGGAATGTACCCCTCCATGCACACCATCCGGGGGCAATCGGCATTCCTTCATGCAATCGATCTCTTATTCAGTGGTCCAATGCTCAATTAGCGGGGTCATTGCGCTCACCTCTCGAGGCTAAATGCGAGATTTATTTTCTTCCGGCTCAAAGAATCATACTATAGCTCACCGCTACATGCTCGGCGGCACGAATATCGAGAAAGATCTCAGTGACCTCCCGTGATTGGTAGGTGTCTCGGGAGAGTTTGTTTGTCGCAGCCGAATTGGAGACCCGCATCATATGGATAGCAGCGGGGGTCAACATTACTGTAGCTACGTACATGCATCAAGGGCCGGGAAGTGCTTCGTGCTCGCGGTATCGGACATAAGCTACAAAGTGGTAGAACGGAACGTCGGCTATCTTTTTATCTTATACGACAGGGAAGCGTCATTTCGGTCACCTGATGTTAAAAACGGCCCCTTAATCACATATCGAGGATGATTTGCAGCAACTAGGAATCCTTAGCGTCGTCATAGGCTGCAGGATTCATCCATAATTAGACTCGTTTAGGAACTCGTTTAGGAGAGGATATTCCGGACGCTTTTTCCTTTTGGGCGTGTTCGTGGTCAATGCTGATCATGTTGATCAACCTGCTAAAGTCTTAAATGCAGATTCAAAAAAGCAAACATGCTGTAAGCCATCGCTTTTCATTGCTACTTTATGATTTTACACTCGCTTATACTAACGTGTTTTAAGCATCGTTTTCGATACGGCCTTCGGCTTTTCTCGTAGCGGTACACAGCAGTAAAACTATTTATTGTCCCGTGTTGCGCGGTAGCCGCTCAGTTTATTGTGTTGCTTTAGCCTTTTGTGACATCCCTGGACGTGCCGGGAGCACCGAATTTGAGTGCAGACTCATGTCAAGGTTACCATGTTCTCTCTAATGCCCCGCTCTTTGAGGTAAAGGACGCCTTGGCATTTTCGCTATCTTCAATACAAACTCGAATCATTGTTCCCTATTTGACCCTATGCAGATCATGGATCTTCCCTCGTGAAGTATTGTGGCGTTGTTAGAGCCGGTGAGAAAGCTTTCCCCCGCTTACGAAGTTAACCCTCAGTACTCCCCGAAGATGGGCGGCAAAAACAACAGAAAAAAAAGCTCAGCGAGCCACATTTGAGACTTGGCAAGGGAATGCGTCTGGAAATGACCCGTGTCGCGTCTCAGCCAATGAGCAGGCTCAACGCCCATGTATGTCCCATATCGCACTGCGCACTTGGCGGGGATCGTCCCAGGGTGGGGAAAACTGTTCTCGGATCTCCGAGGCCGGGCAACGCCCGAAAGCATTTCCTACTCGGGCAACTTGGCCTTTGTTGTTTTATGCTGTCTGCAGTACTCCATATTAGATATTTATGTACATACAATATTGTAGTACAGAGGGGCAATGTAGATTTAGTTGATCTCATATCATGTGCCCCCTCCCCCTTGGTTATGTCACAAAGTGTACTTTCCATGTGTTGAGCATTCCTGGGGGTTTGAGGGGGAATTCAGCCCTGATCAGCCAAAAAGATTGGCGTTCTAATTTTGTTTACGAAGTACGCAGTACTTCTGGAAAAATAGGGGGTGTCCATATGGTACTCCGTACTTCGTACATACGGAGTACATATGCGCTTCATAGCACACACTTCAATAACGGTAGGGATGCTGTAAGCTCCTCGCATGAAAAGTGCAGTGTCGTATGCAGCGAGGCTGGGATCTGAAGTTGAACCGAGCGTTTGCGGCGCATTTACATAAATGTCCTGGAATGTTAGTCCTCAATATTTTGATCTAACTACAATTATACCCCGCGCTCTGGGATCTGTCGCAGGGATAAAAAAAAGAATAAATAATGGGAAATTAAAATTATATCTGTATACAAAGTTTAGAGGCGCATTTGTCCTTGATACTCAAATATGAAACATTCGCAATATAATAAATTCATGTCGCAAAAACGCAGTGGTATTCCAGGGGGTTTGTCAACGGTCAAACACAGCCCCCCCGATAGAGATAAAATACACGATAGAGGAACCCTGGAATTAAAGAGAGATGAAGGGGTAGGTAACATTGGACCGTGGGTTGACAGCCGCCCTTATCCGTTTTTCTGTAAAAGCGGTGTGGCTGATATCGGGGTCGAGTCAAGCAGAACCATGGATGAGATGAAACCATATCTACATTACTTTGTGACACTTGTCTCGTAAGTTATAATTGATGTCATCAGAAGACATCTTGGAGTTCATATATATTTAAAGTAAAAGGAGAAAAAAACATTTTTGATTCCTGTCTCCACTAACCCAAAGGAATGTCATATGTCAGTGCGAGCTGACGGACTCCGACGATCCCAGATAGCGTAATGGCGAATTCTAGTTGAATGTCGCTGATTGGTCCTTTGACGGGGATTCATCAAGGTATAACGCCAACCAGGTCCTCTATTTATGCTCATTCTCGCTGAATTTCTGAATGACTGCATCCACTATTTCCCATTTGAGGAGGGAGGCATCCTACGAGCATGCAGATATCCTCCCATGCATGTGCGCCCCCGCCAATCGTGTGCCTCGTGCGATCATTCGCTTCCGTCTGAACCCTGATTTGATCGGCTGCACCCCCTTTAGCGCCTACAGATGACCAACTACATATTCGGTAAGGGCACGGCGTATGAGTCGTACCCTCGTACTCTCGGGATTTGCGCTGAAGAGTTAAAGTGGTTAAAAAAATAGATGATACTCCGTACGGAGACATGCCCCGATAAAAAAAAGTAGAAAAGCGGGCCAACAGGAGCACAGGGCAACTGGGCCAGCTCTCGGCATTTCCACCCGGTCTGCATCGTGGTCTGAGGTTGCCTGCGTGTGGCTGCGTCGGAGATTGATCAACACGCCGCCACCAAGATGGGATTCATGACAAGTTTCAACAGTTCCCAGGAGGGGTGGGTTTCAACCTTCAACTGCATGAATGGGAAGATGTTAAATTTTTTTTCTACCGTCGATCAAAGAAAGCCCCTCGGTACAGGACCCACTGATAGGTTATGGTCTGAGTTTCCTTGCTCCACGATCGGCTCATAGTATCCATGTGTGAATTCTATGGCTCAGTCATGCAGGAGGGTCCAAACCATCACAGACTACTCTTCGCTAACTATCCAGAAAAATTTCCTGGTCTTCTTATAGGGTAACAGGGGGGTGAACATGGTACTAGTGATTCCAAACGTTTTGATAGACGCGGGAGAGAATTCGGCGAACTAAAATCCTAGGCGCTGCCCCCATAGGCTCGCCACTTCCCACCCGGGTATAGTAGCTGCAGCATTAGCACCAAATATTTATTTATATTAGTGATGGTTATACGGTATTAGGGTATTAGACTAAGCACGGAGTACGGAGTAGTCTGTGTCTGATAGATTACTTGGATAGGTCAAATATTGGGAAGAGGACAGCGTACATGCACGGAGTAGAGAAACCAGAATCAGACAATCGCATTCATTGCGAAGTAAAGTATAAGATGAAAAATAATATGAGAAGGAGAAATAAAATCCAATCAGAAGTATATCAGACGACTATCATTTTTTGAAATATGTTCTCAGCTGATAAACGAAAATCGAAATAAAATGTTGTAAAACGTGTATTACGGCGTATATGGGCTGTGTATTGTGTTATCAGGATAAGCCGTATTATTTAGCTAAATAATTGGTTACCCCGTGCCACCACCTTTTCCCTCTTCACCTTTTGTCATTCCTCTCCAATCTCTACACTTTTCGAGGTCTCAGGGAGGAGATCGAGTCATTCTTTGACTCTTCATATTTCATTTTACAGGTATTATCCCTCCTCACTTACCTACCCCCCCCGGGGTCACCGAAATCCCTCAATAAGACTGATCAATTTCACCACACCGTTACTAACCCTCACATTTAGAGCCTCGATTGCTCGTTTTTTTCGGGTTTCATTCGGGTCGCACAAGCAAGATGTCGACTACATCTGGTAACATCTGTTGAGCTATCTATCTTCAGAGTTCTCTCGGTCCACCACCATACCCCCTCCCGTTGACGCCATGGAGAAAATCAACACCGGGGATGGACAACTTTTCATAAAGGTTTGTGTTTCTATCTAGCAGTCGCCTGATCATGGAGATGATATAGATCGCCTGGGTATTTGGGTATACAGACAGCTAATGCGCATGGTTGCCATAGAATGTCGCTAGCTACGTTCGCACCCACGAAAAGGCCCTCGCCAATGCACTACAGCTTCGTCGTCAACCCACCAAAAATGCCATTCCACAATCACCTAGTGTTCCTTTGACACCTGGTAGCTCCTTCGCCTCAACTTCATCAACCCTAGCCGCAGCCTTCTCATCCGCAGCATTGAAATTCATGTCGCAGAACGCCAAAACCGCCAAACTTACATTGACTCCCCACCACCTTTTCTACCTTCTCTCCCGCTTCGAAGAATTGACCATTGCCGTGGGCCCTATGAACATCAGGTTGGAGAATATTCAAACTGAGGTTTCGCAATCATATGTCTCATTCTTGAACAAGCCCCAACAGTCCCGGGGCGATCGGGCCTCCATCCATTCAGTGTCCAGTGTTCGTAGTGTGATGTCTGGTATGACCGATCTTTGGTCATCTTTCCGCCTTGGATCGAAGGATACCCCAACCAAATCGGACAGGGCCAAGGCCGCCTTGGAAACAGACCTGAAGTACCTATACTCTGCCTTTACTAAGATCCCGTGTCTTCGTCTCGCCCCGGACCACCGTGCTCCTCTGATCTCTGGTTATGAAGAATTTCCTTTCGACACAGCTGTGCCGCTGCACTCCTTTAAGAATTTGAGCGCTTTAGAGATTATTGATCTAGACTACCGTTCTTTCTATGGCTGGGACAGATTGTCTGAGCAACTACGCACCTTGACCATCAAGAGAGCCCACCTAGATGATCCGGCTGATCTTTTAACGAGAATTGTGTTGGACGATATCGATAAACGCCGCCGCCGGTCTGCCAAGTCTCAACATTCGCCTTCACTGGGATGGTCTGGCAGTCAACCGGTTCACACTCCCGACCAGGCCAACTCGATCTCAGCCCCTGGATCTCCTATTGTGGACACAGCATTCGGAACCAGCACTAGTCCCAGATCTGCCCCGATGTTCCGAACCGGCTCCGAAGGCGCCAGAATTCGTGCCAGGGCCGGCAGTGTCTCTCCAACTCGACCGGGCACTAAGCACGGTCACCGTCGAGGCCAATCTCGGCAAATTCGCCGCACAGGCTCCGCAAGCTCTGAGTCAAGCGAGACCTCTACCACCCATCGAAGTGGAAGCTCCACAAACCTTCTCGCAGACGTCCTCTCACCTTCAAAATGGCGATTCCTGCGACACCTAGGCCTTCCCGAAAATTCCCTGACATCCGTCTCTGCTGCTAGTCTCGCCCCTGTAGCCAACAGTCTCAACTCGCTTGATCTGTCCTCCAACCTCTTGACAGAGATTCCCGAGGGTGTGGCGTCACTGGTGGCACTGAGAGCCCTCAATTTGTCGCATTGCATGATCGAGTCTCTTCACTCACTCACCCGGAATCCCCTTCCCGCAATCACCGTTCTCACCCTCCGCGGAAATCGCCTTCGTTCGCTTGCAGGAATCGAGCGGTTGCTCTCTTTAGAAAGGTTGGATCTTCGTGACAACAACCTCACGGACCCGACGGAGATTGCACGGCTGACCAGTCTCCCTGAAATACGGGAGATCTGGGTATCTGGCAATCCATTCGTCAAGACCCACTCTGGATATCGGGTTGTGATTATGAACCTCTTCCGCCGGACGCCTGGTTATTCCGAGGATATCATAATTGACGGGAGAGGTCCGGGATACACCGAGAGGAAGCAACTTGTTGAGCGAGTTGCAGAGCCTCAAGCTGCACCGGTTGTACGCTCCAGCCCGGCAGATGCCTCAACTGTTGTGCAGAAGTCTACTATCTCGAAAGTTCCCCACGATCTTGCAATCTTCAAGCCCGAAGAAGACGAAGGAGATTTGCACATCAATGGCACACAACTGAAGGAAAGTGACGGGGGAACCAACCGTCGCAAAAAGCTCCAACGACGCAGGATAGTCGATATCTCGGTGGATAACCCATTTAACACTGATGGTTTAGGCAATGCGGGAAGCACGGTCCTCCCCGCTCTTCCCGTTCAGCAAGTCCAGCCGCCAGTTGACCATCCGATTGTTGTCCCTGTTGATCAGCCGTGGAGGCTGGATAGCGCCGCGCACTCCGGATCATCAAGCATCCAAAGCCCTGAAAAGTCTGTACATTCGAGTCCTCCTCTTGTACAGGCCTTGCAGGGTAAGGACAGGACGATGGATGAAGAGTTCTGCCGCCAGCAGCTGGAAGTTCTTCGTCAGGGCGTGGGCCATAACTGGCTGACTGTTCTCGGCGAAAATGACTGGAACAACTCCCATAAAGACTTCGCTCACAGCTCTGGGGTGGGCTTGGATCATTCCCCTCATCTTTCCACGCCTCCAATAACCCGCTCGAATACCCAAGCAATCCTGAGCGGACACGCGCTTAGCGGATAAAATGTCATTTTTTATTTACAGTCCTCGGCCCATGAAATCTCCTGCCGGGACTCCGTTCGCCTCTCACGTTTCCGTCTCATGACTTCCAAAGTCTCTCTGTCACGGATGCGACGTATACCTGCTTCAGCAGGTTCTTTTATCTCTTTTCCTTATCTACGAGGACACAACCTCCCTCGTGCGGTCCCCCGAGACCCATTTGAACAAAATATCCCCAGCACCAGCAGCTGATCATTCTATGCATTGTTTTCGGCGTTGGATGACTTATGAGACATGGTGGGTTGGATGTATGAACTATTTACGGCCGTTTTTGCTTTCTTTTCACTGGTCCCATGTCCCCATTTCCTCTTCTTTTCCAAAACGCATCCTGCGATGGCCCTTGTTTTTGGGGTTCGGCTTGATCCACGGAAGGCACAGTGAAAGACATTTTGTTTTCGGTTCTAGCGTTGTACTGTATGATTTTGATTTTTCAGCATCCGGGCGTTGGAAGGATCTTTGACTTGTTTAATTCCCCTCTTGTTGCTTCTTGGTTTCTGCTTGTTTTCAATTCCTTTCTGTATAATGCTGCATGACTTCTGGACAAGCAGCATTGATTGAGACTAGAGCCCAGAGCTCATTTGTGAAGAATGCCAATTATTTTGGAGAGTTTCCTATATTTCTACTTTTCTACTTTTTTACTTTCCTACTAGGCATCTAGATATCCATTGTATCCATTATAGTCCCAGCAGGTCCAATAGTATGGGGTTGATAGTGTATGGAGTGTAGAGACATAGAGACATCATAGAATGGTATGATCTCAGTCTAGATGCTCTATCTAAATGTACTATTTTAGTAGATCAGCCTCTTCATTCGTGCTTGGACCCCGTTTGGCGTCGAGGGCGTTGGCAGTCTCGACCTAGAACACCCCCCTCTATGCAGATTTTTTTGCATCAAAGCGCTTGTAACACAGAAGAGAGGGAATGGAATAATAAACAGAATAATGGAATAATAGAATAATAGAATTATCGAATGCAAAGTAGAAGGGGGAAAAGGTTCCTTTATAAGCGCTCTATATATAACATTATCACCCCCTCCTCTCCTTGGGGAAGATCAAACACGCGCAAACACAAAATAGGAACTTCCCGCTTTCTTCTTCATAAAAGATTCTCTTCTCTTCAACCTTCAACCCCATCTCCACATTCACGTTTACGTTTACGTTCAAGTTGATGTTTTGAGATTCAAACTGGTCTGACTATCATACACGAGAAAATTTTCTCCCTTGATTGAAATTTCTCTTCCCTCGACATATCTCGATTCATCTCGACTCATCCACCTTCCGACTTTCTTCATCAACTCAAATCGCTAAGAGTCTAGTGCTCTTTCGCTCAGCCTCGTTTATCTTGTGAGGCGCCTAGGAGCCCATTCTCTTCTGTTTCCACCGTGCGCGTACACAACAACTCGGATAGGCACCACCGTCCACACCCGTCTGGCATCTCTGCCAGAACTGTTTTCTTCTTTCTTTCCCTTGGCCGTCGGGGCCCTTCTCTAGATCTGTTTGGTCTTGACATATTCTGTTTGGTAGGCATCCATTCTTTTTTTCTCCGCTGCTGCTGCTCCCCAACGACTCCGACCGTCCAAAGGGGGAGAAAAATCAACGAAAAATTTCGAGCGCGTTCGTGATTTTTGCTTTACCTTGGGACTTGCAATGCAGACTGGACTTCATCTCAATCTGGGACGCTATATTAACTTGTTTTTCTGATAGTAACAGGACATAGCCGCCGCGTCATCAAATCTCTGTTATTCTCACCCGATCGCTCCGGAAGTCTCTCTTCCACCTTTCGCTTTTCTTTTCCTTCCACCCATTTTTTTCTTTCTTTCGTGTTTTCGTTAGACATTCTTCACCATGGCCGATCAGGAAGTGGATCTGGACTCGATCATCGACCGGCTCTTGGAGGTGAGGGGTAGCCGCCCTGGAAAGCAGGTTCAGCTGCTCGAGTCAGAGATACGTTTCCTCTGCACCAAGGCTCGTGAGATCTTCATCTCCCAGCCCATTCTTCTCGAACTGGAAGCTCCCATCAAGGTAAGATTTTTCTTTTGTGTCCGAACGGTTCCTCGAATCTCGGAAAAGGCCTCCGTCTAACACGCGTGTCTCGCTAGATTTGCGGTGATATCCACGGCCAATACTATGACCTCCTGCGTCTCTTCGAATACGGCGGTTTCCCCCCGGAGGCTAACTACCTCTTCCTCGGTGACTACGTCGACCGTGGCAAGCAGTCCCTCGAGACCATCTGCCTCCTCCTTGCGTACAAGATCAAGTACCCCGAGAACTTCTTCATTCTGCGTGGAAACCACGAGTGTGCCTCGATCAACCGTATCTACGGTTTCTACGATGAGTGCAAGCGCCGATACAACATCAAGCTCTGGAAGACTTTCACCGACTGCTTCAACTGCCTCCCCATTGCCGCCATCATTGACGAGAAGATCTTCACCATGCACGGTGGTCTGAGCCCCGATCTCAACTCGATGGAGCAAATCCGCCGTGTCATGCGCCCCACGGATGTAAGTTTCTGCCCTTCTCCGATTTCACCCTTCCCCTCTGGTAGATGTGGTTCTATTGGCGAAAACAAAATTGGCAGTGTGGCGCTGGGTTCGTTCGGCTAAATGCCAACATCGCTGACTGAAATAGATTCCCGACTGCGGTCTCCTGTGCGATCTCCTGTGGTCCGACCCCGATAAGGATATCACCGGCTGGAGCGAAAACGACCGAGGTGTTTCATTCACATTCGGCCCCGATGTGGTCTCGCGCTTCCTTCAAAAACACGATATGGACTTGATCTGCCGTGCACACCAAGTTGTTGAGGATGGATACGAATTCTTCTCCAAGCGCCAGTTGGTTACACTATTCAGTGCGCCCAACTACTGTGGTGAATTCGATAATGCTGGTGCAATGATGAGCGTTGACGAAAGTCTGCTCTGCTCCTTCCAGGTGAGTTATGGATTTTTAACCCCCCAAGATCGGTTTTTTTTTTCCAGTTCCTAACCTACGATTTTTTTTCTTCTTCCGATAGATCCTGAAACCAGCCGAGAAAAAGCAAAAGTACGTTTACGGTGGCATGAGCGCCGGCGGTCCCGTCACTCCTCCGCGAAAGCAAAAGAAGAAATAAAAGAATCAATACGAGCTTCCCCATGTGCAGCAGGTTCGGGCGGAGATAAGCCTTTCACAAAATCTCTTTAACAGCGCCCTCATGACATCCTCCCTACAACCCCCGCGAGTCCCCCCGGATCCACGAAAACGATGAACGACCGAGGAACCCCTCATCCGCACCCAGGGCAGCCCGATATTCCTCTTCAACTCCACCGATAATATCACAGTCACATTCTCAACTCCTCCAGACCCCCGGGCTCTCTCTCTCCCAGTGCGACATGCGATAAAAAACAACAGTCACATCATTTCCTGGCCCGTGCGACTCTCTGTACTTCCGGAGCGGAGTTCAAATGCTTATTTCTTTGTTTCTCGACTTCTCTGTCTCTGTTTCTAACCATCTGGACTGGAATGTGTTTTTCCTTTCGGCATCCTGGGAACGGGGTAAGGGAAACTGGTTATCTTTTCTCTTTTCTCTTTTTTTTCTTCTTACTTCTTATTGTCCTGTTCCTTGACCGCATGTGTTGTCGTTTTCTTACCGAATCATATTCGTCTTTTCGAATTTTCTAGCCCGACACGTACGAGGCGGTAGTAGTACCTCTGCTGATGCATCGTATACCGGATTGGGAATGGGAGGCTCTGTTACTAGCGGTGTTTTGTGAATCTAGCTCGGCCTTGGAATGGTTCTTTTTTCCGGAGGTCTAGATTGTTTGTTATATGGGCTGTGAGAATCACATTTGAGTTTATGTTTATGTAGGCCAAGATATCTGTCATATTTTCTATTGGGTAGTTGATTTCGTCCCTGATTGATACTCGAACTACTAGATCTATGTGTATTCAAATCAAGGAATTGGAATATCATTCAATTCAAGACATGGGTATATACAGCAATCCCACTAGGGTATTTTTAGACTACGCAACCGTGACCGTATTTTTTCTACCTCACATGTTTATTTTCAGACCGCACTTTGTTAATTATATTATTACCCTAGGTAGCCTATTTAAAGCATGCGTGTAGGTGATTGATATAGACCCACTCATCCGCCGACTAGATATTGTTTTAAACGCCCCTCTATAACTAGCTCCCGGCCGAAATTGGCGGTGAATAAATCAACCCTATATTACTAGCCCCATCAAGCTTGCATTTCTTGTGCTCCTCAGGGAGAAGATCGGAGTTCAAGGTCAACAACCCATGGTAGCTGCATCGATAGATTCTCTTTCTGGTTATCCATGCCTTGGGGCGTCCCCACAATGGCAGCATTCACAAACAGCGTTTGAGAACCCCAGTTCAGTGGATGAGTATCCCCAGAACAGTGGCTAGTAGCGAGGTACTTCATAGGCGCGCCGTCCCCGCTCAAGCTTTGTCTAGTTCCGTCTTTCATGTCGGAGAGCTTCGCTATAGGACAAGACTGTCCGTTGTCGATATCCGTTAGGTGGGAGGGCATGGCGGTAGTTCTGTCACGCCACGTAACAAGTTTCGCACCCCAGCCTTCATGAATGTGACCGAAGCAATGCATGCGTGGTCGTGGGCGGGCGCGAGCGAGGGCGCGAAAGAGGTCAGGGGAGCCTGCCCGTTCACCGGAGTGAGTGTAGTCCATGATTCCCTTCGGCGGCCCGTGTGTCATCACAACATCCACGGTATTAGTACCACTGCCATTGTCGATCATAAAGTCATGGCCATCATCGGGGTGGTACTGAAACCCCCAATCTCCAAGCGATGGCGTGTATGGACTGGCATAAACAGTCAGCAAAGCGCTATTCTGTAACTGGAAAGAGTGTACGCCTTCGTCGAGGAAAGTAATCCCTGTGCCTTCAAATAACCTCCTAGCCTCCCCGTCATATCCGTACACTTGCTCAACGAGCTCACACCCTAATGGCTGGGCCTCTGCGACCTTTTTGTGGAACATTGGTATGTCCATTGTGAAATCGTGGTTTCCTGCTATGATAAGCTTTAAAGGTGCGTTGATGGCCTGGAGCAAACAGATTGACGCTTTGTATTCGTGGAGTTGAGATTGGGTGGTGAGATCTCCGCAGTGAATGGCAACGTCTGCATGTTGCTTCACGGACGGAATGAAGCCAGGTAAACTGTCGATTCCATGGGTGTCCGAGCATATCAGGAAGCGTGTCTTGGTGTTTGTTGTGCTAGTAGCATTATTCTGTGTCATTTTGGTAATGTGTCTAGTGATTTGTATATTTCTCGAGACTGGAAATGGGAGCCAACTTGAATGCAATGAAAAGTGGTGGGAGTGACTGATTAGGCACGGAAGGTTTCCACGTTTCCTACAAAAGGAATTCCCCGGGCCTCAGGCATAGTTGCAGTTCATGGCAACATAAACCAATTGACGTGTATAAGTTTAGTGAGATAATTGAAGAGAGAGAAACTGTGTCAAGTTATGAAGTTGTCAAATCTACAAAACTTCTCAAAACCTCGATATTGAATGTTCGAATTAGGTGATTCTGATGGCCTAAGGCACCAACCGGCCCCTCTTCGGATTTATATGTTTCGGCTTGGTCGTGTAGTCTACTTCGTCCCTGTTGGCTTTTGGGCCACTCACTGCATTTACATCTAGGCACATACTGACCTATCTAGTACCACCTGGGTTTGAATGGCCCAGTGCAGCGCTCCCCTTGATCCACGGCAATGACTTCAATCGGGGTAATGGACCAGTATCCGCCATCAGTGGCCAAGTCGTGTAGCAGATGCCGTTCCAGAAAAGTGAAGGTGATATTGTCAATTTCGATTCATTCGCGTTGTGCTAAATGTGTAGTCAATAGTGTGATCTGAAAGTGCCCCATTGTTCGGCATGTGAGAGACAGGGTGAGGTTTGCAACATCACCGAATACGTTGCCTATCCATATGCGCTTGTGGAGAGTCTTCATTCAAGAGTAAAAGAGCTTGAGGAAAAACTTGCAGCCTATACAAATGGCTCGGCTCACGGACCATACCTTAGTGGCCCTACACTTGAACCATACTTCAATCGGCAGACCGCAGGGGCATCGGCTCCACCAGCAGACGTCAGCAAAGAAGCCGAGGAAGTAGGCGTTCTGGCCATTGGATTTGCTGATCGGTATTCTCACTCCAAATACGGTCCGTCAAATGCTCAAGTCATCTCAAGACATTGACCTGTCAGCTAATTGGGATTCCCAGTGGGAGCGGCTGCCGGTTCAACCTTTGCTCGAATATTTTTCAAACAGATTGGCATGACCAATTCCTCGGACACGAACCAAGAAAACCCAGAGACGGATGAAAACCTGGAATATACGGCTTCAATCCCATCAAAAGATATTTCTGGGTATTTACTTTCGACTTACCTCGCACGGGTTCATCTGTGGTGGCCTTTCTTAGATCTACGTCGGATTCGGTCATGCTTTCGGAAGATTTATCAAGAACCACGATCATGCACAGATTATGAGAGATTTAGTTTCTTTATAGTCCTTGCATTAGCCTCGGACGAAGCTCGTGTTGACGATGCTTATACTTCAATGCTGGATTACAACACTCCGCGGGATTATTTCCAAACTGCACTTCATTTCTTCAACCGTTTCCGGGAGCATCCTCGCGACCTCTCGGGACTCCAAGCTGTCTTATTGATGACAATTTGGATGCTGAATTCGCCCTCTTGCAATCATAGCAATGATCTTTGGCATCTTACGAGATATGCTATGTCCATTGCGCTCGAGCTGGGTCTTCATCGACATAATCCATCTTGGCGCTTTGGGCCCGAAGAAATTGAGATTAGGTCTCGTACGTGGTGGACTGTCTATAGTCTGGAGAGGTTCGTATCAAACCATTGCCCTTGAATAATGCAAGGTCAATCACATCTAACACCACGAGCAGATCCATAGCTCTGAACACAGGGAGAGTCTTATCAGTGCGCGACCAGGCAATTGATACCGCAATCCCTTCGTTCAATAGTCTCGACCAGCTTACTGAGCAAGAGGCGAAGACTGCCACTCTTTTCCACGCCAAATCAGTTTGGCTCTTTGTCCATATGATCGAACTTCGCAAAATCGCCGGGCGCATTCTGGAGTCAATATATATCGCTCGAGACCGGGATGGGCGATGTTCATCACTCACTTTCCAAGAACTCTGCTCTATTTCAGACAATTTGCATCGACAGCTGGACAACTGGAAATCCCAACTTGATGCTGCAGAAATTGGCTCTTCACTGGAATCTAAACTGATGAGAATTGAATACTGCATAATGTTAATGCATCTGAATCGTCCTTCACCAGCTTTCATGGTTCCCTCACAAATCATGGTTGCTGTCTGCTCTCACGCATCATCCGGTGCTCTGAGACAGTGGGCGGCGATATCCAATGAGTTTGGGATAGATGCTATCTGTCGGTGCTATCGCCAATTCCATGACATTCTCATGGCCGGCCTTGTTCGTCTATACAGTGACTGGTAAGCTAAGAGTTTCTCTTATCTTGATTTTAATATTAGAACAAGATGCTAAATGATCAGGCATACGCAAAAGGTTGCATCAACCCCCAGACCAACTCGCCGACCCGAAGATGCTGAAATCTGCCTCGATTTACTTCGTAAGGGAATTTCAAACCTTCACGACCCTTCTCTTTCAAAATTCCAAAGGATATTCTCTTCCCTCAAAGAGAAAATATATGGTTCTGCGTCTGCGTTTGACGAGGCAAGCCATGACATCCCATTTGCTCCGGTGCACAACCTTTCAATATTTACCAGTGCCCCGAATATGACCCGGACTCGAGAATCTAGCCATCATGTCCCTAATACCAACATTGACATGATGCCTATGGGATCAGAGGGTCTCGAAAGTTATTTGAATCAAATGACGACCATTTTTGACAACGAGATGTTTGATATCGATGATACGCTGACTGCTTGGTATGGGTCTGTTCTTAATGACATTGGAGATACCGATCACATGCGAATTGGGTGAAAGAAAAAAGGACCTGTATGTAATTATGCTATGTATTTTAAATAATGTATTTCCCATCCCAATCGTATCTAGACGACTATGTAGAGTCGAATTAATATGCGTATCTAAACCTAGTGTTCTCCCGATCGGTTGAATCATCCAGATCCGCTTCAATCCCTTCCATACCAGGCCTTTCGCTAATCTGCCCATGAACACGATCACGGTGCTTGTTAGAAATCAAACAAGATGCGAAATACAAGATTCCAGTTACAGTCATAATCGCAAAGCAGCAGAGCATTGCCCCAATTCCCAGTGGATAATGCGGTGCTTGGTCGTTGCGGAAGAACTGTGGACCGATGATGTTTCCAACAGCTAGAACTTTATATTAGCAAGGATTTCAAAAATAAATCATGTAAAAAATGAGACTTGCCATAGAATATAGCCACAGAAATAGAAAGGAAGCTCTTCTTCGTTGTTCCGCTAGTGTTGGATGTTTGCAGACTCAATGCGAGCACCCAGGGCACGTTGTAGAATCCCATAATGTAAACGCCAGCCAGTGAGGCATTACGCTGTGTGACTGGGTCCACAACATGAACCATTATAGCTCCTGCCATAGCGATGAGGGAGGAAATAACCCAAAGCAAGCATCGGATGTTGGGGATGTAGAATGCGAGAGTGGTAAAGATTGCCTGCGCAACCATTGCAACTGCAGCTTGTGGAGTGGCGAGCAAGGTTGTCTTGGCTTGGGAAAAGCCATATCCGGATATAATAAGGGGATTGAAGTTTGTGATTCCAGCATTCGTAATTGCCTGGGCTATGGCGAAGGTCATGAGGATGTAGTATCTGGGATCTGTGAGAGCGTCCAGGATCTGACTGAGTTTCATGTCCTACACGAAAGAAACAATTAGTTCGGCTCCATTTCATGAGTGAGAGATCTCCATACCTTGTGAGAACCTAGACCAGTCTGGTTTTCCGCAACACGTAGAAGTGCAATCTTTTTTTCTTCCGCTGATAGGAACCAGGCAGTCGCAGGGCTATCAGGCAAGGCGAAGAAAACCAAGCTGCCAACCAAGATAGTCACAGCTCCGTAGATAATAAAGATATACTGCATGATCCTTATTAGAAAGTGCATTCTAGTCGAAGGAATGAATTAACTGACCTTCCAGGTAGCCAGATCTCCCTTGATATGTCCGATAGCATAACTCAAGATACCGCCGAAGACACCGGCAAAGGTATTATACCAAAACGCAGTGCGTAGGGGCTGCTCATTGCGGCGGTACCACTTTGAGTTGACTAGCAACAAGCAAGGAAGTAGAGCAGCTTCGAAAACACCGAGCAAGAAGCGAATGGCAGCGAGTCCGGCAAAGTCATGGCAGGCCGCCAGCAAGCATAGACATGCGCCCCAGGCCACGAGACAACCTCCGATGTATTTACCCGTTGGGAATTTTGTGATTAACCAGAGATTCGGGAACTCCATGGCAAGGTATCCGAAGTAGAAAATGCTTCCTAGCCAGCTGTATTGTTGTCCGACCAGATTTGTGTCTTTCTTTAAGCCATATACCGCTGCATAGGCAAGTCCGTTCTATTGTATTGTAAGTATCACTTATTTAATAAGTATTGGGGAAGACGGTACCTTATCCAGGAACGCCAGTGTCATTGAAATGACGATGAGAGGCATTACAACAAAGTCGATTTTCAGCAATACACTTCGAGACTTTGCTGCGGACACTTCAGGGTCGAATTGCCCATTGTGCATATCATATAATATGCTAGCAGCGGCCGTGTCAGGGCCTTTGAGATCGGCATTAGCTGTTTCATGCATCTTCAACGTGCTGTGGGGAATCTGAGGGATATTTGTGGAGAATATGCCCGTTGGCTTCTAGACAAAGCAACACGAATGGAGATGAATGTATAAGAATATTTAGAGGATCATGCGTTATCCCATATCATTTGAAAGATGCGCAAAAAAAGTTCCTTCCAGAAACTAAAGATGAAAAACTGGCTCTTATATTATACCTTTTCGAGCTCTATAGCACGTAATCTAGCTATCTTCTGACGGAATCAACCTTACCATATTTCAAACTTCCGATAACAAACTCCAGTGGAACCGATATGGAGTCCCGGCAATGCAAGTGTGTAATTCGCTTGTCCACTTTTTTTTTCTCGGGGCAAACCGAGTCATATCTCGGTCTACACCGAAAAGTGGGTCTCGAGGCTTGGCTTGCTTCCAAGCCCTAAAAGGTTATCATCAAGTTCCAATCATATTCGGACCTCACCGAGAGCGAAAGTGGTGAGTCTCTCGGTCCATACCGAAGTAAATCCCAATTTGTGGATACTTGTCGAGGAGAATCTTCGGTTGTATTTAAAAGGCGTCAATATCGCTTCAATTGCATGAAGAGAACAAAGACATCTTGGACAATTCCACCCTTCTTCCTTTTCCCATACAACCGTGAAAATGGCCTCCCACGATCAGAGTAAAAAGGGTGCAACCCACGCAACAGTTCCGAATGAGAAGAACCAAAATATCCTGGTGAGTTTACCTCCAGAGATAATCCGATAGGCATTCACTCTCTGACTGGTCATAGATCGGGATGCGCGATGGAGTCAGCGGTGACTTCAAACTAGTACCACGCAAAGAAGCAGTCGTCTCCGTATTTGATTCGAATTTCCTAATCGGCGACGGTATATGGGTATGTAATCATCCAGCATGAGAGGGAACAATATTGACCAGATATACAGGAAGGCGTCCGCGCCAGAAATGGCCGAATCCAATTCGCCAAAGACCACATTAACCGTCTTTTCCAATCCTCTAAGGCAATGTTCATGGATCTTGGACTCTCCAAACTCGAACTATTAGACCTTCTGCACAGAACTCTCGATGCAAACAAGATGTCCAACGAGCCACACGTTCATATCCGACTAGTTGTAAGCCGAGGCTTAAAATCAACACCCTACCAGAACCCCTCAGTGAACATCGGTCTTCCATTGATCGTCATCATCCCTGAGATCAAAGCCACAGACCCCGGCGTGAAAAAGCAGGGACTAAGATTGATCACCACACACATCCGTCGAGGACCGCCTGATGTCAAAGACGAGATGTGGAACCACATCTCCAAAGCCACGGACGTGCAAGCGTGTATCAGTGCTAATGTTACCGGCGCGGATGAATCGCTGATGCTGGATCTGAATGGATTTGTCAAGACGTGCAATTCGACCAATTTCTTTATTGTTCGCGACGGGGAGGTATGGGCTCCGACGAAGAATAACCAGATGCAGGGAATCACTCGGCAGAAATCCATTGATGTTTGTCGGGCTAATGGGATTCCTATTCGAGAGCTTGATTTCACTCTTACCGAGGCATATGGGGCTGATGAGGCCTTTTGTACTGGAACATTTCCCTCGCAGATTCATGTGCGAGAAATTGATGGGCGGACAATTGGAAGTGGGAAGCGTGGTCCGATTACAGAGCGTATTCAGCAGCTATATGCGGAGATGGTGGTTAAGGATACAGAGAGAACGCGGGTGGAGATTCAACAGGGTCTAGAAGCACAAAGACCATTCAAGCTCTAGGGTGTTTAAGTGAAAAGTTCCAAAATCGACAAGGGACCAAATATACTGAATGAAGGAAATATCTCGGCAGCTCGAAGGCAGTTGAAGATCGACATGGATATAAGGAGATGTAACATCATGTTCTGCATTTCGTCTACTATTGTCTGTATAGGGTTAGCACCTGATGTAAAAACAATCAAAATCAAATGGCATTACACAACACACGATAAGATATTGTTCAACAGATAGTCTTTCCTACGGAGGAGGCAAATAATTCTGATAATAAATGGCTGGGAAGCCTAGAAAGAATGAAAAGGCGAAGATGCGGAGGATATGCCGAGGTAGGCAGGGCTTCTTATATATGATGGCTGAGAGGAACTGCAGACCATTCGTTTAGTTCATTTTTGTTGTAACACTATCATTCCTATGCTTTATATCAAGAAAGAAGAAAGAAATTCAAGTCTTTAGACTATAGTAACCAGGGAAAACCAGCTAGCTAGCTCGAGCAAAAGCGCAGAACAGAAGGAACAAGAATTGAACAAACGTGACAAGATGAGCGAGGTACAGCGTTGTCGAGTGACACATTCAAAACGTACAGGTACGTCCGGGGGTAAAAAGTTGGGTTGGGTTTGTGGGAGGGAGATATAGCGTAGCTAGATATGGGGGTGGGAACAGGGTTTCGATTGTAGAGGGAAATGTCGGAGAAAGCCCGAAGCCCAAGCCAAAGCCCAAGCCATTTTCATTTCACTTAAACTCTTGGTTAGGTGGAATGAATATGGATTTGGGGTTGACTGGTTGGGGAGGGGAATCGGTTGTGTCGGGGGAACAGGGAAGACTCTCTGTTTAAACGTATTGGGACAACCATCTGATGCCCTCGCCGTATCCTGTTGGAGAAAGAATAAGGGTTAGTTGTAATGTTCAATGTGTGCTTAGACACCACAGCCCCAATTTCCATGGAACTCAACGAAACTCACCCTGTCTCATAACAACACTGCACATGAACACCTCGATAGGCCGGATGCCCTCGAGAGGGACCTTGCCCTTACCAGTGGTCTGGTAGAGACCAAGCTGGTGGCGCAGCTCATCCTCGCTGACAGCATCGGGGTGATCGATCTTGTTTCCGAGAACGAGGAAGGGGACCTTGGAGAGCTCCTCCATGGCGAGGAGAGCATCGAGCTCGGCCTTGGATTCGGGGAAGCGCTCGTAATCCTTGGCGTCAACCAGGAAGACGATTCCGCTCACTTCGGGGAAGTAGTCCTTCCAGAGACGGCGGGCTGAATGGAGAAGGTAGGTTCGTTAGTTATGTTCAATCTCAAGAACTGTTGGGGGGGTGGGTTGAGGTTGCTTGGGCACTAAGCTTGCGCAACATCACGATTCCCCGTCAAGAGTATCACTCACCCTGCTGGTGACCACCGAGATCGAAGGTCGTGAAGCGGTTGTTGCCGATGGCCAGCTCCTCGGAGGTGGGGTGTGCGGTAGGTTGCAGGACGGCGACACGGTCGTTCTGTTGAATGTCCTGTTAGCAAACAAGCCCCATACAACGTCCATTTCTCATATCTCCCCCCTGCTATATCCAAGCTCCCGGATCTGTGCAATAACCCAGCGCAACCAGACTCGGGCCTTATAGCCAGCGGAATTGAACACCAATGGGCTAGGCCTTCTCTTCCCAAACTCAACACCAACGCTCAACTCACCTTCAACATGTGCAGCAGCGTTGTCTTGCCGGCATTGTCAAGACCGAGGAACAGAAGCTTGGCGTGCTTATTGAGGAGACCCAGCGAGGCCAGGACATCGTAGACTATAGAAAAAAGAAGCGAGATTAGTAAATTGTATCATGTACCTCGAGACGGACATCTCGATCACAAGCAGCCGGTACCGCAGCCGTCGCATGACCCGACGTCGGAGTCGAAATGAAGATATATTTTGTCCCAACGCAGCTAAGCGGTCCAGAAAAACATCTTGTTTTCTCTTCTTCCGTGTTTGAGATCGGCCCCGGACGGTGACTGCTGGTGATCGGGTGATGTATCGGCATGGTACTTACACCAGTTGACGATCCACATTGTAAAGGGCCGGAGTCAGGAAGTAATGGAAAATAAAGTGACAAGCAGGGATCACAGATTAATATCAGTGACAAGCTGATTGGGGAGAGGTGGATGGACGGGGGTGGAAGAGATAGAAGCAAAGAAGACAGGTTTGATGTTGTTTTCGGGGATCGGGTTGGCTGCCTTAGGCAGGAAGACGGAATCCTCGCGCAGCGATAAGCTACGACTTCGGGGATTTGGGCTGATTTGGGTATATATGGGATGATTTTGTAGATTCTTCTATGATTTGTTGAAAATATTGATCATAATTGCATACTTGTCTCTGAATCTTCATCGTGGCGAAGACTTGCCACTACTCGACCTCGTTTAGTATTTACTGTTATCTTCTACTATAGGAAAGGAAGAATGTTCATCTAAGAATTATTTCATATTCACTCCCATCAAACTGATGGATCTCTTTATTCACAATGCAGAAAAGCCAGATAGGGGTATATGCACCGCAGCCATGCAAGACAACAAAGGAAGCGACCTCCAGCAAGTCCATAGGACCGCATATAGGAAAAGAGGGAAAAGAAAGGATATAGATATACTTCCAACAGAAAATGCAAAGAAAGAACCACCTCCGTGTAGGAATTATTGAAGAAAAGGGGGAAAGGGGTAAGGGTAAATAAACCATTCATGTGGACAACACAAAGTCGGCTAATATGTGTAAGAAAGCGAAAGGAACTCGGATCGCTAACCGAGCAGGTAAGGCAAAAAAACCCCCTGAAAGCAAAAAATGTGACAAAAAGTAGGTATGTACAGGTCAAAAAAACGGAGGGGTGAAACTTTTTCATACAAGTTCCATAGGTAGGGACACCTAAACGGATAGGACGAGCTGGGCGTCTTGACCGACGCCGTAAGCTCTGCACCTCTCAGCAACTTCGAGGCCAAGCTCCTTCATCCGTTCGGCTCCATGGCCTGGAATGGGCCGTTTGCCCATCTGCTCTTTGGCAGCTTTGCGGCAGTGTTGACGCCAGAACTTTTCTTTGCGTTTCTGGCGCTTCTTCTCGAGCCCTTCGACAATGTCGATTGGGCCACGAGTGTGTAGTTCACGGGTACGTGAGTGTTCGTGCTCTGGGGATTCAGAGAACACCGGGATACCTTGCCAACGGTGATCTTTGTCCAAGCCGGTGAAGAAAGGATTGGGGACACGGGGGAGTGACTTGGTACGGACGAGAGGTCGCCGCTGAACCAGGTGGCTGATGTTGACACCTCTGGGAGAATCAACGATGGGCATATCGTCGGTGAGTTCCCACGTGGCTGGGGTGGGCGACTTCGCTCTCATGCGCGGGGGCGGGGACTTGAGACGCTTGGGAGAGGCACGGCCAGCGCGACGGGGTGGTGGGGACATCAAACGCCTGGGAGAGCGACGGGGTGAGTGCTTGCGGGCCTCGCCCTCTGGCCGTCCTCGGGTTACTTCAGCACGGCGACCTGTGGCAGAGGACGAGCCGGAAAGCTCTTCCTCGGATGGTTCAGGGTCTTCGTTGTCCTCCGGATCACTGGTGGGGAAGCTGGGGTCGATATCCTGTGGGATGACAACTTCTTTTAGGCGGCGCCGTTGTTCGAGGCAAGATTTGTAGGCGAGTTCGAGGGGACGATCCTCGTCGAGGGTTCCACAGACAAAGTCGGTACTATCAGGAAGGTTCGGGGTTCTCGGACGAATCCTGATGCTCTTGGAGGTCTTCAAAGTGTGACGGCTACTGATCCTCTGCACGGGGGCTGGAAGCCAGTTCGAGTGGTCGTCCGTCATGGATTCAAAAGATGTGTTCGAGGCGCGGCGTTCAATGGCCGAGGGGCGTGCATCGATGGATTGACTGGTGGGTTCTGGAACACGGTGTGATGAGCCCCAAAATTCAACGTCAGAGCCATCATCGTCGCTCTCGTCTGACTCTGCGAAACCAGCCTCGTTGTCCGACTCGTTACCGTCGTCCGAAGAGAAGTCGTGCACAGTTTCGTCGTCGTCCGGAAGGTCGTCCATATCCTCTTCCTCTTCCAAAGCCTCTTCCTCTGCCTGTTCACCGAGCCGTCGGATAGCCATTTCTTTCTTCATACAGTCGTTCAAAGTGATCTTTTGCGTATAGTCGGCCTCCCTGTTCACCCACTCATCGTCTTCGTCCATAGAGCTAGCAAACTCGTGGAACCGGGTAGCTTCGGATTCCTCGAATTTACCCAGTCCACTGGTTGGGATACCCTTGCGATCTGTGGACGCAGAGACAGCTTCCTCCTTGGGAACATCCTTGGAAACCTCCTTGGAGACCTCCTTGGGAGTTTCCTTGGAAGTTTCCTTGGGAGTTTCCTTCAAGCTGGGAGAGGCTTTGCGAGCAGCAGGTGCAGGGGAGCCACGGCATCGCGGCCGGATGGAGGACTTGCGCGCCGGAGATCGCTCTCTTTGGGAAACAGTCTCCCGTCCAGGACACGCGAAAGTAAGTGTGGTTTTGCGCTTAATTATTTGAATCGGGGCTTCCTCCGTGGGGAGCTCCTTCAGTGGTTGTGTTTTGGGTGGGAGTTCTTGTGACGCAGAGGGTGAGACCGGAGATCTCAGCTCGTTATCATTAGTTTTACGACCACAAGCGAAGCTAATGCATCGTTTGCGGCCAAGGTTGGCCTCGACAGAAGTTTCACTAGCATCGACGACCTTCACTTTAGGGGCCACATTCACATTCCTCTTTCCCATCAACCCTGAATTTTTCATCATTTGAGGTGGTAAAGGTGGGCTGGGAGTATTAGACAAAGATGGACTTGTGAGGCCGCCGTCGCTGGTCAACTCGGCCGTCGAGACGCCACTGATGTTGCTATGAGGGTAGGATCGGTACATGTAGGAGTCGTAGTGGGAGGCGTGTGGATCGGTTGGGGACATCTCCGGGCTGCTCTTCAACGCGCGCGTGAGCAGTGATTCCTTGCGGTTCACCGTTGGCCGAGAGAGCACGATCTGGTCGGAGTTCATCGAGGTGGCGTGCATGACGTGTTCAGGGGGTTCGTCGACGTCCTCGGCCAAGTCGGCCTCGCCGTGAGCCGGCTTGCTGGACGAGTTGGGCGAGATGAGCATCCTTAATAGGTTATGAAAAGAAAACGTTCTTTCTCCGTCCCGAGACTGTGCCATGTTTCAAAAGGGAAAAAAGGGTTCGCGGTATAGTTCCAAAGTATAAGAAGGAGGATGAGGGTGAGGCGGGTGGCGTAGGTTCGAGTCAAAGGCGAGATTAGGACGTTGCTTGAAAGGATAAAATGAGGTCTTTCATTCAACGAATGCTGTCCTTGATATCGATCAATGTTAAATCGATCGACCTTGAGGGCAGAACAAGATGTCCCGAGCGAGGACTAATGTCATGATATAAACCGCATGACTAGGGGGTATCGAGACGAAGGAGGGTATTCGCCAAGATCGATAATTGTGCCTAAGAATGGCAACTCAATGTTGAGGAGCTGGACTAGATCTGTTTCTCGAATACCTCCAGGCTTAAAGGTCCGTGCTTTCGGAGGGATCTCGATAAAGTAAAAAAAGCAAGGTCAGGAATGTTGAGAATGTTCAAACGAGAAATGGAGTGGAGATTATAAAGAGGAATAAAAAGAAGAAAAGAAGGGGAAGTTCGGGGAAAGGTTGACAATAATAACAGAATAGGAAGATCGCGCATAGAAAAGGTGCAGGGGTGTCCGATGTCTTGGAGGGGGGGGAGAGAAGAGTGTGGGAGTGACGATACGGCAGCCCGGCACAGTCGTTTTGGGACTAGTCTGGATGTTTTTAAATTTTCCTTTCCCACGTTTTTTTTAATTTTCCTTTTTTCTTTTCAATTTTTCAATTTTCCAAATTTTCAATTTCCGTTCTTTTTTGTAATTTTTTACTAATTTCCCTAACCTTTTTGGATTTCCAGGTTTTTTTTCTTTTCTTTTTCTGTCATTTAACCCTTTGAACCCCCAATTGACCCCCATTTTTTTCAATTTGCCTTACTCCGTTACCACGTACTTTGATCTCCGGGGTCAAAAGTTGTACAGCCCTGAGCCCTGAGCCTTGGAGACCGTAACATCCCTGACTAAGAAAATGTCTTGCCACTTGCGCATGGTTCCTGCGCTACTACTTCGTACATTGTACTCCGTACCATAAGTTGCATTTCTATAGATATTTCCTTTTTTATTTTATTTCTTTATTACTATATATTACTATTCTATATTCATTTTGAAATCTATATTAGACTCTTTGTTTCAAAATGAAAGAAACGAAATGTAGCATAAAGGGTTTCATTTCGAGAATCGAGGTCAATTGATTATTCAAGTGGACCACGATGACCATTGTCTATTGAGTAGGTGGTCGCGGGCTGGCTATGAGGGATTTTGTGTTGAGACTAAACCCGTTTCAGGGTGCTTTTTCGCTGAAAACTCCCCGTTGAACCTGACCTCTCTTAATCTCTTAATACTCCGTACCTGCCGTTGAGCGAATCCACTTGCCAACACAATGAAATTCTGGTACTCTGTTGTACTCCGTATTGAAGAAAAATCCGCTTTAATATCCTCACCGTACATTTGTAACGGAGTAGTTTCTATATATGTACATCGTAGACCTCCACTGGATGTAATTTTTCTTCGAAACGTATAGGTATGGTCATATCAAAGTTACAGAGGACTATTCCCATAGTATAACTCGGTATGAAAAAAAGAAATTCATACCACTTCCCGATTGTGCCTGAACGCTGCCGAGCCGTCAAGTCAACCTTGGCCGAACTTACCCTAGAGCTAACAGGGTTAACAGGGTGAACTCTCTTACTCGACCGAAACTCGTAATGAGAAAATGATAGCTGAAACTATAAACGCGCTGTACGCGCCTCACAGTTTCTACTTTGATTCTCTCCAACAGGCTCTTGGCGGTTTTCGCCGAGATCTCGAGTCATACCTGAATGCTTGGTATTGATTTGATTTCTCTTCCCTTGCTCCCAATGCGGGAAGACTCCTCTCATCTGACGTAGAGTGACATGGAGTATATTAGTCATTTACTCGCTCTCCCGTCTTAGCCTCATCGAATTTCAAAAAAATCCCCATGACTTCAGTCCAGCCGGAGCTTCTCGGGAAGAGTCATGGATAAATTGCATGTTGCATTTAGTACAATCTACTATACGCCGTATAGGTGGTGTACAGAAGTACAAAGTAGTATCCACTGGCATCCGAACTGCACCTCAAAATGGACTCTTGGCTCTGCTCCTTCCCGGTAGATCAGGCTTGGTATACATACAAAGCAATAGCACATAGCCCTGGAGGACAGGCTGTGTTTCCAGTAATTTACACTCCGTACTCCGTAGATAGAATTGATTATCTCCATTGGCTCTCATTCCAGTGCCAAGTCCAAAGGCAGTCTTATTTTCTAGGGATGTCCAGCTCAACCCTTCGCCAACACGGCCTCCTTTGACCCTCCAAATTTAGACATTAACAGTTTCGTCATTCAGAGGCGAAGCAATCATGATCGTCAAGTTGGGCATACAATCGATCTACATAACAATACAGAGTGCAAAGTATAATGAATTGTTTCAACAGGCAGCTTGGTTTATCATCCAGCTCCACACAAGTAATCACCGAGATCAGAAAGGAAAATCCCTCCATGCTCGACAGACAAGCACGAGTAACCTGCATTAAGCTTACGAAGATTCCCACGTTGACAAAGAACAGCGGTCAGCCGCGATCACGATCAGCCCTAGATCGGCTGACCGGGCAAGATCTTCCCTGCGCAAACCACAATTGCAAATCACTTTCGAAAGTATATCGCATAACTCGGACAATAAAAAACTCCCGCAGAGGAAAAAAAAAACCTGAAAGCTCCACTCCACCAGTAACCACAAAGATCCCCCAGGCTGACATTCGTACTGGTTCCCGGAGATATGCAGACTGCAGCCACAACCCCCTCATCAAAGCTGTAGGCCATGAACCCCCGTTTAGATCGCAACAAGCTTCTCGAATCCGAGGAGATCCCCCCGCAGTCTATTTGTTCCAGCAGGCATAACCCCTGTAAACGCAATCCAAGCTCACTGGATTGCATGTCCTCGAGCCGGGTGACCGTGGGAAATGAGTCGAGAGTTTGGAATTGAATTGTGGAAGAAGCTTGTTGGCAACGCAACGGCTTTGCCGCGGGGATTACCCTAGATTGAAGTCATTGAGTTCATCTTGCTGCAATACCTCCTCTGTCGGGCTATAGTTTTTTTTCCCTTTATTTTGTCTCTTTCCTCCATTGTCATTTAGTTTACATTTCACGTACGGGGTACATAGGACAATGACAATTTTATACGGACGAGCGGCAGTCTTGCATATGAAGCGATTCGCTGTAATTATTACCATTATTATTATTTTCCAATCCTTCAGTTTCCTAATAGAGAGAAGGCAGCCGGGGCGCAAAACAGTGTTTTGAAAATATACATCGTATCCAGAGATGTACAAGGATACGAACATACCCAAAGTCGCTACAAAGTCCTACTCTAGGTACATGCAGGACAAAAGTTCCCGCGTTGACAGCAATATCGCAGACGGGAATAGAAACGGGGTGTTTCCTTGGCCACCCCTCACTCCTTGGGCTTGGAATTGGGCTTGGGCTCCCTTTCCCGCCAAAATGGGAAAATGAAAAATTTGTGGAATCCAGTACGGAGTACTGGGCGGCAATGCTCACCATCTGGTTGGGATATTGTGGAATGGGCCAAGAAGACCCCCTCCCCGATGCATCGGAGAAGTTCTCCCAAGTGGAGTAGGAAGGAGTGAGAAGTTTGCGCAACGGGAGGCTCTATAGGACGGGAATATGGTTTGATTAGAAGTGGTTACTAGGAGTAGCGCTGTATTCGTGGCACGATGGGATTGTGGAAGGGGATTTCTCCGCTCAAATATCGTGGCAATCACTCAATTGACGATTGGCAAGACCCGCTCTATAGCACTTACCCCAAGTCCCCAAGTCCCAAGTCCGAAGTTGCCAAGTGTAAGAAAATGAAGTATAGTACGGAGTACGGAGAACAACATACGTGTGCCTAGTGTAATAAGGTGTGAACTGTGCAAGTGGGGATACAGACTACGACCAGGGGATGGCACGAGCGGGATGTTTATTTGACACTTAGAACGTATAACATATCCTTTAGAACTACTCCGTACTCCGTACCCCAAATTGAAGCGCAAGTACGGAGTACAACATATACAAAGTATTATAAAAATAACACCCGAATCGTTGACCGGACACACAAGGGGAAGTGGAGTTCTGAGAAGCAAAGAGATTGGTCAAATGCAAACTGCAATGCGCGATAAGCGGGACGGGTAAATGGGTTAATAATCAGATGGGAATGTATGAGGCATTTTCATTTTGGGGCTACTGCACTGTGCCAGATGCAGTTACGGTCTGCGTGTGCTGTTTCTATGGAGAAGTACGAAGTATGAATTTTATCAATTGACTTTGATCTTGAAAATAATATACAACTTATGTTGTATGTTGTATGTTCTTGACTCCCAATTCAATTGAGTCTGATGACTTTGATTGATCCCAATAATCTCCATCCCAATTTGGAAAGAGGCTATTCTCTCTTTGTTCTATCACTGTCAATACAGGAATGTTACTATGATCTTGGCAGATCGTGGCAAGATGTTTCCTCCGACATAGACATTCCCCTACATGTTTCACACAAAAGATAATACACAAGGACTAATCATACCAATTGCTGGTCTGTGCAGGATATCTCCAGTATGGACCATCTCGGGTCCCGATACATACCTCTACCCCAGATCTTCACTCCATCAAAGAATCGATTGTCGAGTTGGACGATGGCAAATGCCAAGTCCACCCCGTGCCTCCCACAGAGAACACCGTTCCATTGAGCAGATTTCCCCAGAGGAACGTCACAGCCTAAACATCAACCTCATGACCTCCCCGCCAAGACAAACCTAGGGGTTCACAAAATCCTACTCGTCAAGAGACAGGTAGAACAGGCAGATAAATGATCTACCCGGCAGTGCGTATTGCAAGGAGAGGGCAGTGGCTCTAGACCATACCGGAGGAATGCTTGGCGATAGCGCGTGGTGAAGCAAACTGCCAAGATCTAGGCATTGGATCTTGAGAATGCGCCCGGTACGACTTGAGCTGTGTGGTATGGAACCAGTCTGAAGAACAACGAATATTTCCGGGTGTGACAATACGGGGTAGAAAGAGCAAGGAGACGGAGAAGAAATGCCGAGTTCTCCACAAAGGGGGTTCAGGTTCAGAATCAATGATTTGATTCTATTTCGATAACACCCCCTTTCTTGAAGAGCTCTTGGCACTAAACCCCTGCGATAACCATCCGCTCCATGATAGGAGTCCCTCTCGATGCCAAGCACCGTGTTACATAGATCGAATTCTCAAAAATGAACTCGCTGACGCCCGGTCGCGGCGGTGCGGTTATCGAATGTCAATGTATGGTGGAATGGTCTCGCCAAGGGCGATCATGGTGATCATGCTGACACTCTGAATCTAGTCTTGGCACTGATCTTGACTATTTACGTGCTATTGTTTGTGCCAAGCTGTCGCACCAAGTGACAATAATGCATTGAGTTAGGGGGTTGCAGTGGCAGTGCTCTGTTATTTTGGCTCGGGATCGACGGGCTACAGGCTTGGCCGTTCGACTCGGTCCGGTCCGATTGAGATCTGTAAGCAGCCTGGGTATTGAAAACCTGTTTATGCACCGCCTGTCACCTGGTGATTTAGGTGCTTAGTACGGAGTATATTGGCACGGATCTTTCCTTGCACGTTGTACATGGTACCTATAGATAGTTGTATGTGGATGATGTGCTTAGTACGCAGTACCATGTGTACACTTCATCGTTGGGAATAGGATACGATCGACACTGTGGCGCCCCTTCATCTCTTCTCTTGCAGGCATACGAAGCAACCATCTAGAGACGTGCGTGAACCAATGTAACAACCTCTCATAGAGCACCGAGTTACGTCTTGGCACGCCACTTTGCGCAATATTGCGGCTCTTACTATGGCTATAAGCGTTCATCCCTGCAAATCCACGTAAGATGCGCCCGACCTCTTCAAAGTCCAAGGCACCGAAATTCTTATCCCGACATTTCTGGCATTTCAATTTCAACGTACAACGTATCGCCACTGTTCAAATCGGCAGGTGCAAATCTTCTAGAAATGCTTGATAATCAACTCCACCTGCCCATGGACCTCCTCACCGCAGAACATGGTTGGCTCTCGTGCTTGATCATCGGACGCGAAATCGACTTGCCAATGATCGTTCAGTTTAATGGGAGACATAGGAATCCCGTGCGCGTTTGGAGCACGGCATCGGCCGCCGACGAATGAATCCTTGAGTGAGTCCATAGACCGGGAACGGAGAGTGTAAAGAACCGGGAATAACTCGGGATACTGTCTAGCCACTAACATGACCATCTGATTATCTCTGTCTCAGTACAGGTATCATGGCGGTCGCATTTACAGCCCAAATGATCATGATACAATTTGATACAGTTTGCGCATGACTCGGCGATAATTATTGAAATTTTCTATATCTCTATACGATATAGGCGGTATGATGTCATTTTTAATAGGGCGCCGAGATGACACGGGACTGAAACACGTTTCGGGTACCGCCCATGCGAAGCAACATTTGAATTCAGAACCAGAACCAGAACCTACAATATTATCGAACATATTGTATACTACATCGTATAATGGACAGGCGGCAAAGGAAACAGTGCCAGTTCCAGCAGTTTCATGTCCATCGCAATAACCCCAACCACGAAACCTCCAACCACGGAAATAACCCTCGATGATCACCGAAAGAGGGAGGAGACGAGCGGTATCAGCGGGAGTTATCTCGAGCGACAAAACCCGACCTACGTAATCACGTCAGAACCTACAATATACCGCTCCGTCATTCGCTCGATCGCCAGCCAATCCCTGGCCAATATGATACCTGTTCTAAGCTGGGACCCTTTGGAGGCGATTCCAGCGGTTGCGACAATACCAGCGCGGAATTAGTCGGTCTGTCGATGCATTTGATGTCATATTAGCGACCCATGGGTTCAGAGATGGAGGCTTGAGCTTCTAACTTACTTTTAACATTACAATATACGTTTCGGATGCTCATTTGACCCTCCAAACTGGTGACATCACGGATGGAGACGGACATGGTACGGTGATCAGCCGCGTGGTTGGTTGCTATGGTAGCATGTGCTTTTATTGTGCTTTGGTCGTGACATGAACTAGCGGTGCGGTGCTTTCTGAGATGGCTCTACGTCAGATCGGGTCGATCTGTACTGTACGTTAGTGCTTGCCCTATACGATGTACAGCATAGCGCTTCTGGAATACGATATATTGATGATAGATGGCCGTGCGATGAATACTGTAAAGGTTTCTTGGTAAGATAATGTGGAGTCTCATTGTTGACGATCTTTGTCGGAGATCTATGTTGGGGCTGTAGTTGTATGATGCGACATCTGCACTAGCAGGGATTGATTTATATGTGATATCTTGTCCATGTAATTACATGGCTTGGTGCTGACGCGTTTGATGTTCAAAATCGGATTAAGATGTTCAAACTGCTTTCATCTGATTCGATATTTGAGAATGTAGGGAAGCACAACTGTATATCCCACTTCCTAAACTGGCAACCAGGATTACGGTTGAAATACAGCGTATACGCGCTCGTATGGATTGTTAGAACTGTTTCACATATTTCCCTTTCATGTTATTGTATGTAAAGCGAGTTTATACACTAAAAATAATCCCTCTAGCACTATTCTGGTTGCTATTCATGTGTCCTTGAATTTGATATTGTATAATGTGAGTCATGGACCTATCTCTACTTCGGGACAAAAAGATCCCGTGGCTTGAAGGAAATGACTGATTCCAATATCAGTTTGAGTCATAGTAGCATGCAGCAATATTCAACACTATCCCCCATAGAACCCCCTAACGAATTCTCCCAACAACTGGATGACCTCAATGGACCTGACTCACAAATCGCACGCAATGGACACATGCTGCTTGCTTGAGAGTCCGCTGTTTCTGGCTAGTAATAATCATTATCATCGTATACTGAGCTTAATTAGGAACTACTAGATCCTTAGCAGTCACAACTGAAGCCAGACTTATTTTACGAGCCCCGTCAACATCAATACCAGTTACTCACTAGGTTATCTGGGGTATTGGAATCTAGCTGAATAGATATTGACGAATGGAGCAACCTGGTCCCTTACTACTTTTGGGGTAATAAGTCTGCGTGGGTTGCCGCTGTCGCTGCGCCAGCAGTACACCTCGCTCTTCATTTACTAGCATACTAGGGTAAAAGAAACAGTGGTCATATTAGGAGGTTCTCACGGAAGTTCTGGTTTAAAGATCCAAAGAATGAATCAGATAGAAATCAGCGAATATTTTTGATGCTTCGTTCCATGATGTTGAGGGAGACCTTCCCCGCTTCGATCATGGTGGGCCCAGTCTCATTTGGATATTCCATCAATATTCCACCAGGACATCGCGCGATGTAATACATTAATATACTGATATAAAGGGCCAGTAGTAATCTATCCGGTAATCTAGATATATTGCACAGAGAAATAGAGGCTGAAAAATAATTCTCAGCTTTAGGCCCCCACATCCAAGCTTATCCTCCTTTGCCAGATGCCTATTCTCACCCTCAATACGAGGCGAAAACTCTTCACCTTTCCTACCTCTAACCATCTTTCCATTTCAACTGTATACATGCAATGGAAGATCACCCAACAACCCCCAGCTCATTCGCTGCTTCTTATGTCTCCAACCCCCGCTTCCATCGCTCCTTCACCATCGAGCCAACTTCTACCCATGGCCCTCTCAATGTGACTTACGGCGATTACGGCCGCGAGCCTGATAAGAACGGGACTACACCCACAATTCTCTTTATGCCGGGCATGGTTTCATCCCGGTACCTCGGAATCTGTGCGCACACGATTGCTGAGAAATGGGGCGTGCGCGTTTTGGTTGTTGATCGGTAGGTGTACCCCAGCCCTTCAACTACAACAGGAACTAATCATATTGTATGTAGTCCTGGGATGGGAAATTCCACCAATGTACCGCTGGCGCAGCGAGTCTCCACCTGGATTGAGACTGTCCCACGGCTGTTGGCCCATGTAGGTATCCAGCATGTTTCATTGGTGTCGCATAGTTCTGGCACTATGTATCTGTTGAACACCCTGTATCACTGTCGAGATATTCTGTATCCCGAGAAGCCGATGGCTACCATGCTAGGTATGTTGCAGTTCCAGCAGATCACTTTATCCCTTTTGTGTACATTTTCACATTGGATGGGAATATTACAACAAAAGTTCTCAGGATCTAACCAAAAGATAGCGCCATGGGTGGACCCCGCCAAATCAGGGATGACATCCTTGAGAATGGCCCAGTATATCCCTGCCCCAGCCTTCAAGCTGTTGCATCATATCCCACGCCTCTTCCTCGCCAATGATGGGTCTGCAACAGCAACCAGTGGAGCAATCATTGCCAGTCTCACTGCCTCATTTCCCTCAAAGAGCGGTGATAACCAGGCAAAGAATAGTCTGTACATAGCGCAGAACTACGAACTAGACGTGGACCAGCAGAAGGAGATAAGCTCTTCCATGATGCAGGGTATGTTCAAGGAGGAAACGGTTGGCTCTAATAGTGAGGCGCTCCTGTGCCTACGGAAGGAGCCTAACATATGGGGGCAATGTGAAGACTATGAGGTCTTTGTGCGTGAGGTGGTAGAGCGTGAAAGAGCGCGAGATGGAGCGCCGTTGAAGGTCTATGCATTTTTTGCTGAGTCTGATAGTTTGATTGGTAAGAAGGGGCAAGCTTATGTTGAGAAATGCTGGCATCAGGTCAATGATGGGGACTCGAGGGGTGTGGTTGAATTTGATTCAAGAGTAGTGCTTGGTACTGATCATGATAGCTTGGTGCCGTGCGCGGAAGCGTGGGAGAGCATTTTCAAGAGAATGCAAGGAGTAGAAGGCGATGGCTCAATATAGTTTCTGAAATAGAATTGGCTTTACCTATATACGTACATAGTATATGGAAGAGTACGTTTACAGTCAAAGTCTGAGCAACGGGGATGAAAGACGAGTTGCATAGGCTGTGATACATTTTGGGATGTGGATGACCTCGGGGGTGAACTAGACACATACACAAAACAGCTTAGAGAGTAATAGCAAACACCATACGATTCTATCTATGGTTTCTTTCTCACCTTGTCTTCCCTACAACGTGTCAATCATTCTGGTATGCATCATGTCACGGCTTGAAGCGAAATCACAGCACTTTCGTCGCTGATTTGACCAAGTGGTGATTCCTAGGCACTCAGTCTGAATGGATACTGAGACCTCGAACAGCCCGAACTAGTGAGCCGACTGTCGTATGGCTCGCCGCACCTTCGGGCAATCTTTCAGCAGATTCTCCAACAAAATGTATTGGAGCCAGTGGAGCTAACAGCCACATTCAATGTGATATCCCTCGATGTCAGTGGCCCTGATATCCTATTGGTCATCTTTGTCTCCATTTTGCCCATGAGAACAGCCAAGTGGTGGTGATCTATGCTCACGACGTCCATGGCGTTGCCTTGGGTGAACTCCAAACCCCAACGTTTGTCTTGGGCGTGGGAGTAGTATTGGCGCGTGATTATGCGGTTCATTCTCACGAAAAACTTTGGAGCGACCACTGGGTCGAGGGAGCACATTCGAAGCTACCAATTGCAGATGCTTTGCAATACCCTTGACGACGTCCGCTCCGGAAAGGAGCCAAGAGAGTACGCAAAAGAAATCATCCGCCACGCTAAATTGGCGAATGCGCTCTCATTCTCACCTTACTCTCACTTTACTCCCACTTTACTTTTATTTACGCTTTGCCTTAGCTAGTGACCTCCAGGCCCTCATTATATCGTAAGGTCCACGATCTCTCGTTCTTAGGCCTGTGACTGCGTTTACTCATCGCACCTGGAATCAGCTGGAGCCAGGAAGCTCAGGCTGTCGGTAGATGCCTCCGGGCAGGTTCCTTAGAGAAACTACTAAGGTAGAGGCTACAACTCACATTATTGTATAGATCACTTCAGGTTTAGACTTGACCGTGCTTCGGGTGTATGCCGAAGATACCTTTGATCGATATCGCAACGACAAGCAGGCTGGCTATGAATGCTCGAGAAGGATGATCTAGTAACTAATGATAAAACCCATTTAAAGACTTCGGGTTAAAGCCGATCGCTTACACAGGTCTGAAAAATACCAGGAGTTGCGGAACCAGATACAGCGGACTTAGGTCAGCGACGATTCTACGCTGGTTACAAACTTGGATGAACAGAGAAGAGTGCACGAAGATAACACCGTTGGGAATTCTAGTCAGAAGGTGCAGAAAGAGCTACTGGGACTTGGACAATTGCTGCATTGTTGCATCCTCGGCCCGAGCGCTATGATCTAGCTAATTATGACGACTCTAGAGAAAGGAAAAACAGGCTGAAGATCTCATTTCCATTTCCCAGCATCTTCCGTTCCCTGAGCAACCCGTTTCGCCCCGTTCTCAAGACCTGAGCTCGCACTACCGAGGGCATTCCCAATCGGCTCGCCAGCACTCCCCGTCGCGCTTGTGATGGTATCACCGATACCTCGCCCGGCAGTTCCTGCCACTCCACCCACCGTGCGGGTGACACCACCGACTGTGTTTCCAAGAGTGGAGGTGACGAATTTAGCGGCTCCGGTAACGCCTTTGTCTTGATTGGATTCGATCGGCATGATGGTTTGATTTGAAATGGTAGATTTGAATGAAATCAAAGAATTTTCTCGAGTTTCGGAATTAACACAAGGGAATGAAATGTAGAGGATTATAGATAGAGGTAAATATTGAAACAAAAGAAACAGGTGTCAGAAGGGCATTATTATATTGGGGCGTGCGCCTTATGACATCATTGGGTGGCTCGGTGGCTCGGTGGCTACCCCTGCAATTTATATTGGGGTTTAACTTAAAATAACAATCTGACATGGTATAAACAGCAGTGACGATGGAATGGCCACCATATGACGTAGTCGGAAATCGAATATACGTGGTATTCTCACATAGTCATTATAGTTGTCAAGAGAGGACTACGTCGAAGTGCATGGTGAACGTGAGATTGATTGAGTAGAGTGTTGTTGAAGCTAGGCTACAGAGAGACTAAAAAATCTGACAATAGTATTTGGCTGGCGTTGACACGCTGTGTATGGGTCGGTGGTAACTATTCCTCTTGGACTACTATAGACTAGCGAGAGAGAGAAGGAGAAGGAGAAGGAGAAGAAGAAGAAGAAGAAGAAGAAGAAGAAGAAGAAGAAGGAAAGAATCATGTTCACATGAACTGGCAAATACCGGGTCTATATACCCGGTAAAACCATTTGAACAAGACTCAGTCTGCTAACAAACAAGCATCTAAGTTGGATGAGCGATGTTCCACGGGCCGTATGTTTGCATCTTCAGCAATGGCTCAAATATTCGATGTCTCCTCATTATTTAGGCACTCAAGATACTGCTAATCGTAGTCAGCAATTGTTAGAGATGTCTACTAAGGCCGGTTAGAATATGGCTCCTGATAGTGCCGTCTTATCAAACTTACCGACGAAGGTGGACTTTCGGCCGTGCTTGTCGTCGCGTATCCTCTCACAAGCCTTCTTTGTTGTCTAAGCAAAACCCCTTGGGGAAAGTTTGGCTTGCATTTTGTGTGACCGTAAGGCTCTCATGGCAGCGAAGTCCAAAGTGGTAAATTTCGAACCCGAATGAACATTTGGTAGGGCATGGAGGGGGTCAACATGGTGTAAAAATTGCTTTTTTTTTTGGCTTGAGAGGGTTATGGCAGTGTGTACGAATCTTGGAGGACAAAGGAAATGAGGTGAGGAGCTACCGAGGTGTGGGCGCTCCTGCCCTCCAAGTCTGACATGATTTATATGGCAAGTACATTTCTACACATGTGACGTATGGGAACAATCGCACTTACCTCGTCACGTCTTCTTAGCTGTCTTTTAGTCTTTCTAGTGGTCTTTTTAGCGGTCTTTGTAGCGGTCTTTGTAGCGGTCTTTGTAGCGGTCTTTGTAGCGGTCTTTGTAGCGGTCTTTGTAGCGGCCTTTTGGAATGTGGTGAATATTTTTATATGAATCATTCTGATATGGGTAGCTAAGTCACTAATCAAGATTCAACAAAGCAGCAAAATATAAATTTATCTTATAGGCAATGTGTAGGTACCGCCAACTGGCTCACTCAAACAATACCGAACGAACAATTCCACTAGCGCTTTTTCTACGTCTGAGAAGTTCCATAGTTGTGAATATTGTATGATTATCCCCTTTCCATCATACGAAGCCTGAATGATTCTCCCCTGTTGATTGCCCAAGTAAGAGAAAAAAAGAATCTATATAGGTCTTAGGTATTATCACACTATAACACATTGTGGAAACACTTACTGGATGAATATGATATCTGCGGAATGGTCTATGATTCACCCGGAGGAGCATCATGCACACGATACCTCTTAGCTCATGTGTAGTGAGTTCTCGATTTGTATCAGTAGGATGAATATGGGCAAGGCATGACATGACCGAATGTGGCTTGAGGGGGCGATCGGCGTATCGGTAATGATTGATCACTCGCCACGTTTTTGATTTGGATCGCCTGCCTTATGGTCCGGGCTGTAAGTTGTTAGTTGCATCCATAAGCGTAGAAGATATTTTACAATGATTTGCAGTCTATTTACCTCCAATATAGTTGGTTCCTGAGGTGTTCAAGCGTAAAGTCATCTGATGGTCCTTGTCTTGGCGTATCCAGGTGAGAACGGATAACATCCTCTATCCCCTCGGCTTGGCTATACGCATCATTCTCCATTAGATACCTAGGACGATCTATACATGTAAGATCCTCAAGTACTGGAGCAACTTTGGGGAGATATTCCGTTGGAGTCGTTGATGAAATCCTGTATGGTGCGGATATGTGGTATCTTTAGATGATTTTCATAATGTTCCTGGTCCACCTTAGGATGGATAAGATATTTTTCAAGGAGTTTGTCTGGGTGTGGTTGAAAGAAGCACGGGTCAAATTTGAGAGTTCCATATTCATTCGTGTCAAAGGATACTTCGAATGTTTGGATTCCAAGTCCCTGAAGGTCTCCAGGAGAAGGGAAGTCAGACTCAAAGGTTTTAACTCGCCGAAAGAGGGACATGAGAAAGGTCTGAGGTTGAGCTTGCGATTCAACCATTTTGAAGGAGAAGATAAGGGATGTGTCCTATCTGATGGCACATGGTGCAAAAGTACTATATATTCTGTCAGTGTATATGTATCAGTGCTATGAGAAACTCATCATAGGAAATGAGATCGGGAGAGAAAGGCACCGCAAATTTAGGCCAAAAAGCCTCATTCCGGGGTCTATTCGGACCCAATTTTTCTTTTCTCCCTCTCCTCAACTCCTCTATCTTGCACTCAGTGTCGCCTCCTTTCTTCCAGTCGCTACTCTTCCTCCACCCCACCGACGATTGTGCCTTTGCTTTCAGCCTGACACACTGGACGGAGCGGGAAATGCGGCATCGAAGGAATATCGGCACGTTATAGATACAAAGGAGGCCGGTGGGCCTTTGGACGAAAGCAAGAGTACCGACACGAAATAGCCAGATGCTGCTGTGGCCTGAATCACCCCAGTGGTTCAGTTCCTAGATGACATGCATTACAATCTCGGTGTCGGATCGAGCGGCACCGCTATTAAGAAAGGCACACCCCTTCAGAGGTTACATTGCACAGCCCCATCATCACAAAATGACTCTCAGTTGCCCGGTCGCGAATAACGGGGCGCACAGTTGTCGTCATCGTCGGTCTCCCAAGGTTCTATATACCTAGTTGATGGATCTTCGATTCACAGCCTGATAATATAGGCCAATAGCGGAAAATACCGCAAATGCCCTTAAATGCCTCATAGACCATCTAGCTTCTAGTGGAATCAAGAGAAAATCGATCTTACACTTCTCTATGGGTACATAACAAGCGGTATCTACTAGGAGTATATATACAAGATGGTTTGCCGCTGGATTCCGCTCATAATTCCATCTTATAATACGTGTGTCTTTTCATCTTCATCGTCAGAGAGCCGCGAAAATGATTCGGGCCATCCTACTCTCAATTAATTTTCTTCTTATCAGCTTCGGGCAAACGGCAATTGTCCCTCTCCCTTCAAGCACCGGGCCATGCGATGTCACGCTTCATGCAAGTGAACTAGTTGACATGTCTCGAACCAATCCCTATGACCCAAAAGGAGGCAAACGTTCTATCATGGTCACTACCTTTACACCCGTCAATTGCGGAAGTGTACCCTCTACATCTTACATGCCGAATGCAACAGCAAAGTTTGAAGACGAGACTTTCCAGTCTTTTGGAATACCTCCAGGAACGTTTGAGTCCCTTAGGATCCAGACTCAGACACAGCAGCAGCCACTTCCTTTCAAACTTCACGGAGATTACCCAGTAGTGCTTTTCTCGCCGGCACTGGCAACCTCGAGATTGATGTACACATTGCTACTTCAAGATATTGCGAGTAACGGATTTGCTGTTGTCTCCGTCGACCACCCGTATGATGCTGACATCGTTGAATATCCCGATGGCCGTACGGTTCTCGGAAGACTCGCAAACATCAGTACCACGACAGAATTTGTTTCAGCACTGAACGTTCGTGTTAAGGACATGGTATTTTTACTTGATCAAATGCACGACGAAAAAGTGATCAGAAACCTATTCCCTTTGTCACAGGGAAATTTACATCTACTCTCTCTTGATCGAGTAACCATCCTTGGTCATTCCCTTGGTGGAGCAACAGCAGCGCAGACAATACTAGTTGACAATCGCTTTGTTGGGGGTATCAATCTAGACGGCGCATTATGGGGGTCTGTCGTGGACAAAGGACTGTCGAGTCCGTTCCTGCTTTTTGGTAACACAAACCATACCCAGGCAACAGATCGCAGCTGGGCAAAATTTTCGTCACATTCACGAGGATGGAAACTTGAGCTACAACTCGCACAGTCTAAACACTATACTTTTTCTGACATTCCATTGCTTGTTGATGCTCTGGGTGTTTCGGATGAAGTTCGACAAATAATTCAGGCTGAAAGTATTGGGACGATAGGTGGTTTGCGGGCTAAGGATGTGATTACTTCATACACCATTGCTACACTGCAGTACTTTGTTTATGGGCACACATCAGAATTGCTGAGCGGCCCTTCTGTAGCATATCCTGATGTGACATTTGTGTCTTGATAACTAGTTAAATGATTGGTAAATATCTGAAATATTGACTCAATAGATATGAATATCCGTACCTGTGAAGCTGTTGCATTTGCAATATCGCTGCGTGAGAAATTTGCTATAAGAGGCAATCAAGTAGGTCATTGCTCATAATTGGCGGTGGTCAGGATTCTTTGGCTTGGTAAGAGAGGTGAGTTGCCTGCTGTAGCTCTGCATTGTCCCTAGGGACCTCTAGTGTGGAGATTGCTGAGACGGCGATGGTACCGCTTGTACTTGATAGAGATGTTGCTTTGTTTCCGCTGTTTGTTGCGTTTGCGTGGAACATTCTATGTAGCTAGTCCAGGGCTTCTAATAATAGGCTCTTGTATCTGTCTTACAATCTATAACATGTGACTGGTATTATTACACATAGGTACGAAACATGTTATTATCCCGTATCCCGTATCATGTGATTGGGGTTTGAAAAGCCATCTCTGTTTTTCTGATATAGAAGGCGAACCTGGGCGGAATGAGCTCAGTGTCTTGCTTCTTCTGATAGTTTCTCCATGAAGCCTACCCAGAGGCATCTACCGGCAGCCCGTGCTTCCTGGGTCCAGTTAATCCCAGGCGCAGTCAGGATGATGCAGTTACACGCCTCATGTAGATACAGGCCGAGAGGTCCTAGATCATAGGTGATGATCAGGACTTGGAGATCGCTGGCTGGGTCATTTAATTTCTTTTCTGAAATCTCTCGCTCCAGAATAGTCAATTCTGGGCGGACAACACGAGAATTCACTAACGCTGCCCGTAGGAGAGTCTGCATAAACCAGGCGTTTAGTGGGATGCAGTCGACGACAAATATTTTTTGGCAGTGACCGGAGCTGAACCGAAAGAAACATGACAAAACAACATCAGGGACAAAACGCACTGCCTGTCAAAACGCGGTAGGGGTATCATTTCATAAATAAATAAGAATACTTGAGAAAATGGGATAGAAGGAAAAACAGAAAGGAAAACGGAAAGGAAACGGAAAGGAAACGGAAAGGCCCCATTAGAGGCGCCGAATACCTCGGCGGCCAGAATTGGGTTGGTTCTGGCGAACAGACGATCTCTGACCAGCAGATTTGCGTCGAGGTGTATGTTGAGTCTTCGCCATCAGCTTCACCTGCTCTGTCTGCTCTCGTAGCTTACAGGCTTTGACACCGCGCCACCATCGAGTAATCACCTCACATGCCGACTCCGTCCTGGCTGTGGCTATAGCGCACGCGTACTTATTCCGTCGTTCTGTAAATGACCGCCATGCCCGTTGAATAACGATGGCGGAAAAGGCATGCTTCAAGGCAGAGGCCGAAGGATTCTCAGCAGGAGGTGGATGTCCTATCTTTTTAGGGACTCCGACGGCATTCACTCGTGTTTCACCCAGTGCCACACGCTTCAGTGGATCTTTTCGCGGTTCTTTAGGCTTGGCTGTTATGTGCGTTCTGAAAGTAGAGTTTTGCATGGTTGGACGGGCCATTTTGGACACCGGTGAATGGTTTCCTGATTTGCTTTTCTTGTTGTTGATGACGGAAAATCCAGGAGGGATATTTTCTTTGCCGCCACCTGTTCCAGGAACATCAACTATTGTCGCCCCTGCCTGGAGAACCTTCAAGTTTTGCTGGAGCGGAGCTCTCCGATTAGACCCTGCCAACGGCTTTTGTGGTTGCCGTCTAGTACGTTGTGATTTGAAGCTGCCAATCTCAGTTTTACCTGAGATATGTGGAATGGCGTCTTTGGTTTGCCACCTGGGTGAATTGTAAAGACCCATGAAGACGGTAGGAGCGATAGGGTCATCAGACGGAATGTGTATTGTATCACCTCGTCTTGAAGACTCATGCCTCGACGAACGGGGAGTCATACGTTCGTCTTGAAGACCTGACGTGGCGTCCAGGTTTCCTAACAAGAAATGAGGTTTCATACTGAGATGAGAGTTGGGTTAATTGAAACTGAGGGAATGTGTCGGGATATTTGTTCGGAGAAGCGGTGAAGTCAATCAAGGGATCAACTCAGATGCGGGGAAGACTCGGGGTGAGACTTGATTTTATCAACAAGCTTGGGCAACTGTATAGTCGCGTATCAAATCAATAGAGATCGATTATCGCGTGTCTGGAACAGTCGATTACTACGACACCCGTGTTGACCTGTGGACGCGTTGTCTAGGGCAACACGTGGGGGTCAACACGTGACATCATCAAAGTATCGGATGAAATAGGGATAGGAGGAAGGAACACATTGGATCTAGGTAGAATGTTCTCTCCCAGTATGCGCCAGCAGTCCCGCAAACTCTTTCATGCGAAAGTACACCCCCAAGCCTTCTTCCCGCCGCTGCAAGTTCTTCCGGATGCAGATCGTTCAAGTCGAATGTGACTCTAGCGCAATATACTTCTTGATCAGTTCGCCGAGGATCTAGATCATGGTGGCGACCAAGCTGTCATTAAATCAGCCTTGGCTGCATGAACTTCATTCAACAGGTGCGCCACCAGCCAGTCATGCGTGATGTCCGGGAGCGCGGCTGACGGGAACCCGACTTCGGCTCCGAAGCCCTGCATCCCTTTCGGGTATGAGCTGGCGGTTTCCCGCATGCGATCCGATAGAGTCTCAACCAGTCGCTGCATATGTCGTAATTCACCTAGCGTGACTTGCGCTTGAATGGTCAATCCCAGCGCCTGATCATCGACCGAGTGATCTCCGATGGTGACGGGTTGATGAACTACCTTCTCCAATGCGGACCCTGCCTGGTTGGGTGCAATTTTCATGCTGTGCCCAGAGAAACTACTGGCTCCATTCACAAAGCACGCGCGGATCATCGCGCGGTACCACGAAACTAGCCGGGAACAGATAATTGCTAGGATCAGCTGGTTCTGTGGACGGAGGGCACAGCCACACTGTAGCATGCGGCAGACTGACATGCCTGCATCTTTATTGCTTTTAAGGACCGAGCCGGACATGCGTGGCAGTTCGGGTTTACTGCGGTCATGGCTGCCGCCGCTTCGGCGGGAGACGCAACTAGTCTGGGGGACGTGGAGTGAGCGAAGGGATTGTGTCGCAGTCATTATGCAAGGGGTGCCATGCTGTGCGAGACAAGAAGCTGCTGTCGTTGGTGGTGAGGGTGTTTGGACTGGAGGAAGGGTTGAATCTGGGACAGCGAATAGTGGGGTGGAGAAACCAGGAAGCGTGGAGCAATCCAGCGTCGGTTCATCGTGATTGTCAAATTCATCGGAGTTCACACGAGGTGTAGGAACAGAGCAAAGGTTGGGAATAGTGCCAAAAGGGATGGAGTGAGCCGGCGCAAAGGTGCCAAGGTATATACCGGGGTCAAGATCGACATTGATATCGAGATCTAGGTCGTCTATCGGTGCATCTGCGAACAGACCACCACCAGACTCCACAGACGGATGAAGTAGATTGTCATGGGCTGTACATTGGGCGAGAATGGATTGCCAGTCGTAGTTTTCAAGGAGCGTTGAGTCCTCGAGGAGGTATGGATTATCCGGGGTTGAGGCTTCCATTGTCGCACGGTGTTGGTTTTCCCCTGACGGCTCAACCTTGGCTTGGATGCTTGACCCGTCAAAGTGTGACCTAACCCGATTTGGCTAGTGTTTACTCAAGCTCCATCTCGCGTCGGCCGAAGGTTTTTGGCTGGGGACACGAGGTTTCATCACGACGTCAGTTTCTCTCTTGGTCTCTAACCTTGGGAAAAATCCCAGGTTGTATCCTGGAACACTGTCTGGATGATGTTCGATGCAGCTGATTGCTCCACAGCTTCGCTTGCATATTTCTTATCTCTTGGCAAGGAGGGGCGGAAGTGGGTTGTAAGCGGGACCAAGACCAAGCGATCTACAACATAGGTGAGGGAAGACGAGGAGAAAGGCTAGTCACAAGCACCCAAAATGGCTAATAATGGGAACTATTAGATTTGCAGGACCTGGGTCCACGAGCAATCCTTTCATGACAAGCAGAAACCGACGTCATGGACCGCAGTCGCATTCGAACTTCGAGATCGTCCAAACCCACTGCTCCGCATACTACCTCCACCTTACAAACCCCAAAACTCAAAGATTCTTGCGATAAATGCTCCTCCTCCAAAGTACGTTGCACAAAGGAGAAACCCTTCTGTGCCCGCTGTGATAAGCTTGGATACACATGCTTCTACAGTCCAGCAAGACGAGCCGGCCGGCCCTACCGGTTAAGAAAACAGCTTTCAGAAGGAATCAATATTGAAGAATCCAACCGACTCTCTGCAATAGATATAACAACGACCCAGTTTGTAGACGAGAGCGCGAGGCTATACTCCCGCTTCAATGACTCCGCACCCGTCAACGTGGCATCCAATACCTCAACTCCAAATACCACTCCATCCAACAACAAAACGGCACAGTCAGACCCCATTACCGCAGAACCCCACCGCACCTCCGATCCGGATTGCCTGCTGGTCATTCTGGACATATTCTCCGACTTAGAAGTGTCAGCAGAGCAATTCAGACGAGCATCCCCTGTAGACGCAAGTCTTCTCAGCACAACCTCACAAACTATCACAGCAGCCTTGCATCGCCTTTCTACAATTCTGATTTGTTCTTGCTCCAAGCGAGCGGAGGTGGGGATGCTCATTTCGGCAATTTGCATGTCAGTCATTGACATGCATGCCATGACAATTTCAAATTTCGCGAAAGATCAGCATCCTGCTGGAATACTCAGCCAGCCGACACCATGGGAGAATCCCGGTGTCGGGCCTTATGGGTCCCCTGAGTATGAGGTTACTGCTATACAAGTCTTTACAGAGCTTTCAGAGCTGGCCAGGCTCATTTTACGACTTGCCGAGCGCTATGATGGAGCGAGTGGGTCTTTAAATGGTCTACAGAATGGATCGGAGCTGCCAACGGATATTCTCCCAGGAATAGCTACTTTCTTACGTGAGAGATTGCAGCAAATCACGAATGGCGCTACTCGCTGGGTTGGATAGATCTAGGTCTCGTTCTCCAATGTGGGCTCTTTGCACTCAGTCTTGGAGTGTTGTGACTTTTGGAATGATGGGTTGAAGCACAGTTCCAGTAAGTTTTGGACGACCCAAAGAACATGAAAGAGCTGCCCCCCTGGATCGACATAGGCTATGCTATGTCTGGATCGGACCAAGCATTCAAGGGGTTGTCAGCATCAATATTATCGGGGTAAACTTGTGGTGTATGGCTCAGCTCAGTCATTTGGGAGACTGATACTGATTGCCGAAACATGTATAAATTCCGGTCATATGAATTAGTCTAACCTACTCCAATTAAGCATTGAACATAGTTATTCTATAACAAAAACCACTTCTTCTCTTGTCCCGCGCGAGCAAGTCCAACCTTCCCCTCATCAACTAGTTTCGATAGAACCTGCGCTATGAATGGCCCCGCCATCGCCTCCATCTCGGGCCCATAGAGACATGCGATGATCTCCCGCATCGACAAGGGTGCCTTTATCTTTGTCTTCCCCCCAACAAAAGCTGATAAAACCTTCTTTTCTCGCATTTCCCAGTGTCTGCTCCAGACCATGAGTTTGGCTGGCAGGTCGTCAATCACGGCACCATGTCCAGGGTATCCAACTCTTATCTCTTCATAGCGCACACTTTGGGTCATGGATTTCAAGCTCTTCATGTATGATCCTAGATCTTCCACAACAACACTTCCTCCATGTCCAAGCACATTATCGCCCGTGAACATGGCACCGCCGTCCTCCAGGACAAAACACATGTGGTCTTGACTATGTCCGGGTGTGAAAAAGGCTCGCAGCGTAGTTACTCCGGCAGTAAAAGTCTGTCCATCACGAATTGAATGTTGGCCGTGGTCCGGCTGGGCCTTGTGGACCGCCGTGGCTAGATGTGGATACTGCGCCAGTAGCGCCGGGAGACCACCGGTATGATCGTTATGCCAGTGGGTCAGCAGTACGTGGGAGATTCTCAATTGGTGTTTCTCAAGATAGTTGACCAGAGTTGTGAGCCAGATCGGACATCCCTGTAGACATTATTCTCTAATTTAGTCTCCAAGTCCTAAAATAGGATGGCGAACATCACTTACCTGTCCTGTGTCTATCAAAATCCGTTCCTGGCCACTGCCGACTAGATATGTATTGGTTCCTTGCAATTGCATGTCGCCGGGATTTCCACCAAGTATCCGTACCACCTCTGCGTCGAGTTCTGAGACAGCTGGAAGATGTGGCAGTCCAGCATTTCGAGCAGCTAGAAATTCCTGCCACACTGGCTGCGTCCACACTTTTGGGGTGGACATGTTCCTTGCTGATCGACTCTCAGAACTCAGGTAGGCTTTGTGACTTGAGTAAGCAGAGTTGGAATTGAAAGGTGGGGGCTCTTACATTTTGGAGAGCATATGCAACGCAGCCAGATGGGGCATGCATGGCTGCCTGATATACAAGGCCGCTATCTTCGGGCTAGGACTAAACAGGAAATTCCTTTTCATTCCTTTTCACATTGAGGTTCGTGTTCATTCTTCTTGCGCGTTAGGCAATCTCAATATTAACAGAGCAGATAAGGCAGAGAGAATATGAAGGGAAGTTGAGGCAAGAAAAAAAAACATGAAGAAAAACAACACTCACGGCCGAGAACGACCGACAGACCTTGCATATATTGACAAATCAAAAAATCAAAAATCCCCTTGGACGTTAGCTAATTCCGGGAAGCTAAACCCGAAGGGCATGGAATATGGGAACTTGCTATCAAATACAAGGGAATAAGATATCCAGCAAAATAGACAGCAGTCACACTGTTGATGTTAACGAGCTTCCACTCAGACACAGCAGCAGCAACTGTGAGAATTCACTGTGGTGGATCATATTCTACAGGAGTAATAGTATTGATAGTAGTAGAGAGATGGAAATACTAAAGATCGTGATACCGCCTGTCCGGTGCAGGTAGAAAATCCCGAACAAGCTCGGGTACCACTACCACAACTTTTACGGCGTCCTTTATAGGATGTTCCGCCACCATCCCATCTAGCGCAGCATCCGCAGCCGGTTAGTATAGCAATTAGCTCCTAACATGCTACCAAATCCGGTATAAGCTATGGGAAGTAGGAAGATGATCCTATTCAACTACGCGCAAGCTACCTACAGAGGGATTTGGTCATGCAACCAAGTTACGTGACGGCAACACCTGCGACCCAGCCAAAGATCTCGTCCCCAATATCCAGCTTAGTTCGGTGGTGTCTAGAGCTGCAATAGTCCCGTAAACCTGAAGATCATATCTACCCAAGCATGACTAAACAAATCAACAAGGTGCTCTTCAACTCCCCCTAACTATTACATAATGATCGTGGCATATCCATGACCGCCGGAAGTGCATACTCGAAGTCTATATGCCCAACAAAACTCTCATTCGTGACGTGTGCGCCGCGGTTGATCTCGTGATCAAGATGCGCCAAACACGAGGCCGCCAAGCCCCCTTGGAGCTTCATACTGGAAAGCGAAACCATAAGGACCTGCATCGAGTCCATCAAGGGGCCGATGTATCTCGGTGAAGTGTTACCCCTAGTAGATGAGGAAGATGGCGTGGCTACTGGTAGAGTAGAGGAACCCCCGAAGATGGTGCTTGTGATCCAAAGTTGCTTACATCGGAGAGGGGATTTGACGGTTGAAAAGTGCGGACAAAGATCCGGGCTGCAGTAAATATAGGCCAAGGGGTGAATATATTCATCTGGGTTTAAGTTAGACTTTGTCAATACTGTTCAAAATCCAGAGGAATATCAAGTAACCCCAAAGAAGAGTGCAGAGGAATGCTCTAAAGATCCGGTCCGATCTTTTCATTCCCAATGGCAGAAACGGGGGATATATATACTCTGTAATAAAGTATGCCTTTTCTTCTCATTATTTAGGGTCTGCTATTCTTTCTCTCAATTCGAACCTCTTCATATTAAGGAAGATCACAGCTCTCAACAAACACGATGATATCATAATTGATGGCGGCTCATGTTGCAAATTTTCCACGAGTCAAGATTCGCTGGATGCATCGAAATAGATAGCGGTCATATCCCGTTTCAAATCCCAAAATTCCATCGAATTTTTCGTTTTCCCCGAAATCCCGACCCGCAAATACGGATATTCCCAAATATCGGCATCCACCTACGTAGTTAGGAACGTTGGACATATCCTTTTTAGCGGTAGCCTATTATTCGGATAGTTTCCGAAGAAATACAGTTCAGACTTGCGCTTTACCTCATTCCATGAAGATACACTGTTGGGTTCATGTTGAGTGTTTCTATCAGGCTCCTCCTGCGATAATAAGCAGCTGACTGTTCAAATAGAAACCATTGTAGTGTCATATAAAGGTTTGCCATCTAGAGTTTCTTTTGTTCGCCTGAACATAGCAACTAAGGAAGCCAAACCGCATCTATACAGGGCGTTGATTAATTTCGGGGTTTTCTCAGTCTTACAATCGGCTTCCCGGCAATAGATCGATCTACAGGCCCATCATCATCCACCTGCCAAGGCCAAGACACAATGTCCGATAGTAGAAGTTGTCAGATAGGCCATTTAACGGATTTATGGTGTTTCAAGCGTCATGGAAGAGCAATCCAAGAAGGGATTAGGTCAGAAGTGGTTTTTACATATAAAGGGCTTCCTTGTCCCTAGAAATGAACTATAAACCCTCACATCGAGTTCCAACAGCATATCATTCCTCTCAACTTAACTATGATTTTCTCTTCGAGCCTTTTGCTCGCTTTCATGGCGACTTGTGCACATGCTCTACCCGTGTTCACCCAACCACTCACCAACTACAAATGGCCTACTCAGTTTGTCCGGAGTGGTGAGGCAAACATCCAAGTTCTTGTCCAAGGCGCAGGTCCCGCAGTTGTGATCATCCCATCGTACGGGCGAGACGGAGGTGACGATTACAACTACTTCAGCAACTCCCTCGTAGATGCAGGGTACCTTGTGTTGCGACCTCAACCAAGGGGTACCTTTGAGTCTACGGGCCCGATCACCAATGTCACACTCGAAGACCTGGCGGCCGATATTGCAGCTGTGATCGATACACTGGGCGGAGGCCAAGCTATAGTGATCGGTCATGCATTTGGTACCTTCCTAGCCAAAGTGAGCTCCGTGCTCTACCCGGAAAAAATACCTGCAATTGTGGTAGCTGCCCCAGGTGGCATCGATCTCCCGACTGATATCGCCAAAATGCCCTTTATCACTGGCAACACCTCTTTGCCTATCTCTGAAAGACTCAAAGCTCTCCAGACAGCCTTCTTTGCGCCCAATCACGATGCTCATATCTGGCTCGATGGATGGTACCCGGATGTTCTTGCCATGGAGCACGCCGCTGTGCAAGCTTATGGTAGCTTGGCATCGCATTGGGGTGGTGCCGATACTACACAGGTCCTCGAGTTGATTCCTGCGGATGACCCCTTCCAACCAAAGGCTCAATGGAATGTGACAATGGACCTGTATCCGAATAGAGCGACTTCTAAAGTTATTGCCGATGCGTCGCATGCGCTGTTCCCTGAGCAGGGAAAGGCCGTTTTTGAGGCTGTTTTGCCGTGGTTGAACCAACAGAGCTCGCACATTTGAGAAAGAGGATTAGTATCAGAGATGGGAAGCAACTACAACATGGAATGGGAGAGATTTGAATGTATTGATGTAAATATGCCTTTTTGAATTCTTACATCTAATGGACTTCTATCTGTTCTGCAATCCCTGCGTTGGAGCTTTAAATAGAAGCGCACCTCAGTATTCTTCAAGTGTGCAAGAGTAAGATTACAAATAAATTTCTATTGTGTATATTAACATCAAGAGTGGGTCTTTGCTCAAAGAGTGACCTTCATTGATACTGTGGTATGATCTATAAAAGCATTGCCATTGCATTCTCTCCCCCCTGAAACTCAACAAGCATTTCTCGAACACGTCTCGTCATTTCATCCTGATATTCCTGTTCTCTGATTATGAACGGATTACCTGAAACCCTAGACTTCTCCAGATACGCTCTCTCATTTAGTACCGGGCGCCCATTTCTCAAGAAGTGGAATGCCAGATAGTACAATGAGAGGCTATTTGCGATAAGAATATTTCCTGCACTCAATTCGTACTGATGCTGGGATCGTCTTCGAAACTGCTCCCACGACATATGCCATGTATGCAATGCTCCCTCTAGGGCGGAAAGATCCACAGGAAGTATTGATGTTTGAGCTTCCAGCAGCAGTGAGTGAATTGCCAAAATCAACAGATTCAAGCCGAATTTAGTTAGATTTGACTCTGACGGAGCCTGCCTGACCATGAGCCCCTTTACAGAGGACAAGAAACAGCTCGATGGATCTTGCGCTGGCATTGCAGCCCACAACGAGGCGGAACATGCATTCCAGCTTGGATAATCACAGGGAAAAGAAGCGCGTGTATCTGTTGGTAGAAGAAGTGGCTTACTGCCACATAGGATGGATTGATAGCAATCCACTGTGAACACGCCCCAAAGAACTCTCTTCTTAGACTCCTTTTCAATCCATGATTGCCATACATGTGCATTCCGTGTAGCTTTTGAGCACTCGCCATGGATTTTGAGGAGCCCTGCTTGTCGTATGACAGAGACAAGAAGTGGATGCAGGAGCCGCGACGCAGCCCGTTCCGCTGCACTTTCCCCGTTTGCCATACTCGCTAACTGGAAAAGCACTATTGCTTGAAGCTCCTCGAGGTTGGGGGACATTTTGTCGTAATGAAGGCAGCATTTGGCAAGCAGAGTTGATAAAGACCCATGAAGAAGCTTCGCATCCGATTTCGACGTTGTGCTGTTTTCAAACCCAGCGCCTATGAAGCAGACCGCTCTGACAAGCACAGCGGGAGACGAGGCCAAGCAGAAAGTGGGAATGTGCAGTATAGGAAAGAAAGGGTGGAAATTGGCAAAAAACAGCCTCGCATATGTTTCCAATCGATATACGGGCACGGTACCCGGACCTTCTAGTTCCAGGACATAGTCGGCAGGAAGTCGAAAGTTGTCCGGGCATAGATACCCCACATTCATGGCGATCTCCGGGACACGCATATCAAATGTCGATGCACCGGTGCTAGGTTGGGGCAGGCCGTGGTCACTGACCACGGAGACATTTTCTTGCGGTGTCCAGCCGAAGGAGCTCATATCGACGCAATTTTCAAGGTCGGCTAACTGAGCTAGAAAATCGACTTCGTCCGGTGAGCAACTGTCGAGGAATGACAAGTCGACAGATTGTTCATCAAATACTGGTATGTCCGAGGCCTTGTACGGCCCATCCTCACTTCCGGTTTGCGGTGATGGAGGGGAAGTAATCCCCCTAGTTCTTCGCGCGCGCTTCTTGCGCTCCGCCCTCACACAAGTCCACCCCCTTTGCAGGCATCGAGAACACGGCGGGGCCGTTTTGTTAAGGTCACATCGAAGCTTTGATTCGGAACATGCAATGCAGCTTCTATTCATCGTCCCAGATTGGCCTAGCACAGGGCGGAAATAATAATCTCGGATATTTGCAGGTGGAGGGATGTACAGGAAGAAATCTCGATTTCCAATTCCACCCGACTTACCCGTGCCCGACTGTGGCGTTATGGAGCGCCCACCTTGAATTCCTATCAAAGTGTCATAGCCAAGTGGAGGGTCTCACCCGCTTACCTCCAGGGCTGCTTACTGCTGGTTTGCTGTCTCGCGGGTTTCCCCCCCC